AAATATCCCACGGGCAAGTGGCAAAATCGCGGGCTATGGGTATATTTAACGCGCGTTGCAGTAGATTTAGAAGGAAAAGTTTGAGGTTCTGTAATGAATATCATTTGTACACTGAGGTGAGGTTTGTAGCCGCCCAGCTCAGTTGCCATTCACACGCTGTACAGTTCTTTTTCCCGCCAAAAAGTATTGCTGACTCGTACTTCCACCTCACCACAAGGAGCGGGACAGTGCGTCAGAGCGAATGATCTGGCAGGTGCATCGTGGTGCTGATTGGCTTCCACGATTCCTTGCATGCCAAACAGTGTCGTCGAACGGGATGGAGAAGTTGGAATTGGGAGTCGCAGATTGGCTTGCTGTCTAGCCTTTTCATCGCACGAATCCTGGCAATGCTCGTTCAATGAAAAAAACCATGACGACAGATGTTTCATTTCACGGGTCGTTTGCACAGTTTGGACGTGTGCCTATAGGAGCAAGTCTCGACTGTCGTGACAGATATTTAGCTTGAGGAAAAGGAGCGGGTCTTTCTTTGATGCATTAGGGGATGGTTACCGGAAAGGGTCAGTTTGATCGACCTGTTTGCCGAAGTTCTCTCTTCATCCACTGTGCCCAGCACTTCACAACCCAAACATACATTTCTGGCAGGCTTGCCATTTTGAACTCCAATACTTCGCATTGTAGCTTTGTTTTCTTGGAGTCCTAGCAGCCACACATAATTCTATTTTTAGACACTCTCCTCTCTGGCCGTGACGATTCGGGTATGTTTGCGTTTCGTTGCGACTCTGATTTAGCATACTCTAGCGTTACAAGGGACACTGTAACGTCACCTACATCGCGCCAGAGGTTATTCAGAGTTTCAAACCAGTGCAAGCCCGAGTCGCGGTTTGGAAAAAAACATTTCTACTACTACTTCTGACCGCGACGGTGCAAGATGATTGACGTAGAGTATCCGTGCAGCGGACGCGCCGCTCCAAAGGAGATAATTTCCAGTCCAAATCAAGCCACATCAAAGACGATGTTGTGTGGACGCAGGTCAACTGAGACGACTCAAAGTTCAACTGCGGCGGGCTCAAAGCGAGCGGCATTGCGCGCGGCACTGCCGCGCACCGACGCGCTCTTTGAAACGAATGCGAAGAAGACACCAGAACAAGTCGTTCCACCTCAAGATGAAGAAGGTCCGAGCCTTTACCGGTGGCAGAAACTCTCCCACAAGTGGCTGTGCCAACGGACGGTCAAAAGGTGCGGTGGATTCGTTGTTTCACAAGTGGTTACAGGGTGTTTATACGGTGTTCACGGGGTTCTCAGGGTGTTCAGAGGGTGTTACGGCGTTCAAAGGGTTCTCAGAGTGTTCACAGGGTGTTCAGTGACTCGCCGCCTTACCTATCTCCCACTGGGACCTACTTAACGTCTGATGGCAAGGCCGACTCGGCTAAAAAACTGAAAACGTCTGATTGCAGGGCCGATGAGTCCACTGAAAAACTGATTCCCCTCCTACCTTTCGCATTCTCCCACTCCCAGGATCTACTTCACGTGTGTGTGCAAGGCCGTCACGGGATGCACGGCGCGGAAGGTGGAGGACCGAACCCCGGGCCCGCCTCGCGGCAAGCACACCGCGCCTCCCGCCGCCGCCGCCCGCGCTGCTGCTGCTGCCGTCCCAACAAGCGCCACTCTTGCTGCTGCTGCTGCTGCCGTCCCGAGAAGCGCCGGTCATCAGGCCGATGCTGCTGATGATGCAACTGCGGCTGCTGCTTTGGAAGACGAAGGTTCCAACCACGGGGAGGTGCAGAGTGTTGAAGGTTCCAGCCCCGCCCGCCCTGAGCGCGTGGAGATGCGCAACGTGGTGCGCGTAACGACATCAGGCTTCCACAACCACCCTCCCACAACCTGCCGCAAGTGCCGCCGCTGCAGCAACGCCCCTGCACCCGCCACAGCCCATGTGCTTTCTGAGGGCCAACCGGAGAGGAAGCTGAGCTACCAGCCTGATAGGGAGTTGACCTTCCGTGCTGCAGGGAGGATGTGCTTTCAGCCTGAAGGAAAGATGTGCTTTCAGCCTGAAGGAAAGATGTGCTTTCAGCCTCAACTGAGGTTGGGTTGTCAGCTTGGGGAGCAAAGCTACCAGCCAGAAGAGTTGAGCTACCAGGCTTCAAAGCGCCACAGGGCAACGCCGGTGCAAGCTGAGCTGGATGGTACCATGGGGAGCCTCAGTGCCAGCTGCTGCAAGGCTGAGCCGTCACTCTGCCTGGCTGGCGGATCTGCGCTTGCTCCGCAGCTACCAGATGGACCGCTTTCTTCTGCTGGCGGCAGTGCAACGTGCTTTCCGTGGTCGTCAGCGACGGTCCGCACCACTCAAGGGGTGCAGCGGAGCAGCCTCGGGTTGCAACAGTGCTTAACGAACCAGTTTGCGAGCCGCGTTCCAAGCCCAGCAGGCCCGGCATCCGCACCAGAACCAGCAGGCCCGGCAGCTTCAGCCGTCCCAGTTGTTCCAGCAGGAAAATCAGCCCCAGTAGCCTCTTCAGCGGCTCATCCGCGGGAGCAAAAGTTTCCAGAAAGCAACAAAGCCGTTGGCACGAGCAGCAACTGCAACCTCGCGTTCCTGATGGGGGTGCTTCTGACACCCCCTGAGAGGCAGGTGGTGCTGTCAAGGCTCCTGAGCCTGCATGGTGCAATGGAGAACAGAGCACAGTTGAACGGCATTGACACGACAGGCCTTGCCCAAGACCTCGCCCCAGGCCTTGCCCCAGGCCTTGCCCCAGGCCTTGCTTCAGGCCTTGCTTCAGGTCTTGCTTCAGGCCTTGCTTCAGGCCTTGCTTCAGGCCTTGCCCCAAGCGTGTGCAGCAGCAGCAGCTGCAGCTTTGGTGGGGCTTCAGGCACGGTCGGCCAGGCTCCTGCTTCAAGCATGGATTCAGGCGTTGCTGGTGGCGCTGCTGGCGCTGCTGATGCTGCTGATGCTGGTGGCGCTGGTGGTGCCGTTGGTGATGCTGCTGCTGCTCCTACCGCTGCAGCTCCTACCGTTTCTGCAGCTCCGGTCGCTGCTGCTCTGCCAGCTGTCATTGCTACACCACCCGTGCTTGATCCACCTGCATCTGGCTACACATCTGTCACAAGAGCAGCAGAGCCGGATTCTTCAACCAGCTTCTTGAATGAGGTGAGCGATATGGGAGCCAAACTCTTGTGCTGCACATTCAGCTAGATTTTCGCTGCCTGCTGAGCCGGATTCTTCGGTAGCATTTATCCATCCAAAGCCCTCCTGGTTCTGCTGTTAGACTCTTTTTTTCCCTTTCTTATTTCCTTTTTTTGCTGCCATCTTACCCCGGCTGTTCCTTCCTGCCTGCCACTGATTACCATCCTCTTGTTCGGGCAGTTTTTGGAGCAAGCAGACACAACAACAGGCTTCCCAACCCGTCCTGCTCCATCCCACCCTAACCCATCTTACCTTAACCCATCTTACCCTGACTCAACTTACCTTAACCCTGACCTATCCTCTTCCCTTAACCCATCCTCCTACCTTAATCCATCACACCCTGACTCAACTTACCTTAATCTAGACCCATCCTCTTACCTGAATCCAATGGACTTAACCATCCCAACTACAAGCATCTGGTCTGATTTGACCCACCCATCTGCCATCCCCTCCCCTGCATCTGCGATCAAGACTCAAGATTCTAGTTCTCAAGAATCTCTGGAGTTTCATCTGATTGGGCTCAGGACGTCCGATGAGCCGCACTCACTGATCGATATCTCTGCTCTTGGGGCAGCTTTTGATACACCTCAGAAGCAATCGCAGGAGCTTTCGGAATTTCATACGGGTGGGGCTGGGGCATCTGATTGGTCTCACGTACTGACGTTACTGACTGAGACCTCAACTCTTGGGGATCCCTTCGAGCCCCCTCAAAAGTATTCTCAAGAGCTCCTGGAATTGCACCCGATTGGGGTTGGAGCATCTGATTGGTCTCGCTCGCTGGCATTGCTGACTGAAACCCCAGGGCTTGAGGCAGCTGGGAAGCCCATCCAAGGGCTGGGAGAGGGAGGTTGCAAGGAGGAGATGACGGCTGAGATTTTCTGTGGCGTCGGATTAGACGATTGGCCGGCGTTTGGACATCGATTGGATGACTATTGAGACGCCTTCGAAAGAAATATGAAAGTATTTAAAAGAATGTCAGAGAATGCTTTTCAGGAATTGCATCAAGTTTTGTACTAATTGACCGTACTAATTGATCGTACTATAATTTGGGCAGGTTTTGGTGAGGACCCTCTTGCTGCAATTGATATTTGAAGGACCCCTAATGTATACAGTTAGTTGAAATGAGTTGGCACATGAGCTTGTAGAGAGAAAATATACTGTTCTGACGCAGTAGCAACGATGCATCCACAGCACAGCTGGCTTTCTTTCGCGCCGGGCAATTCATTAGGCTTTCTTCTGTTGGCGCCTCGCAGACACATCCGTAGGCGGGATTTACGCGTTTCATATGTAGTGCGGTGTACAATCGAGGGAGACTTTTCCCTAAGGGAATTTTCGCTTTCGCCGTTCCCCACCCATCTCCTACGGAAACCCACAATTCAAATTATACGGCATCCCTGGCAGTAGCATGCCAGTTACCAACAGGGCATCCATTATTGTCTCTAGCTAGCAAGTAGCGATGCGAAGCATCCACGCGGCCGGCTTACCTCCGCTCACGGGCAATATATTAGGGACTCTTTTGTCGCTACGCCTCGCAATTGAGACACCTCGCCACGTCAGTCGCCGGGAGGCACGTGGTTGTGGGGGAAGTTCATCCTCCCTGCCCCACATCAGACAGCAATTCAATGCCACGCTTGCGCGAATCAAAAGTTTGCACACCATGCGCGTCGTCATGGCGATCATCAATCCGCCGATCAGCATCCCCCATTCCCCTGGTCTAACGAACTGGTTTCGCTTATTCAATCTCAATCCACATTGGATTAGAAGCACCCTCAGGGGTTTTCTCGCTTGAAGATCCTCGTGTCCAACAGACAGCTTTCACGCCATGGCGTCGCTTCATGCTGCCTCCGTGTCGCTCTCTCCCTTTGCTGCTCTCGGGACCCCACTGGATCGCCATCCCCGATACAAGCTCTTTTTGTCAAGGTAATACATTTTTCCTCTATCAGCCGAACACATTCTGATCACTCGATGCAGGACGCGGGGTCGATTACCGGCCGTTAGAGCTTGAACGTAGCAGTTCTTACGTACTTTGGCTATGCCATACGAGCTTCCGTTTGGTATACGCCAGTATTAGAACCGCTCTGCGTATCCCTGAGAAATATCACCAGTTCTACGCCGGCGCCGCCCGTGACCTTCCAGTCCGACTGGATTTGAGTCAAATCAGTTTTCGAGAATTCTAAAAATCAGATTCAGCCTCTAAACATTGCGCTGGCTTTCCAAGGTCCGCAACGACGTGATCAATGATCCAACTCGGATTGTTCCAATCCAACTGAAGGTGAACTTCGATATCACAACGACGCGTCCGTCCCCTTCTTTGCAGCTTTACCTCCTCCTATGGCGGCCTCCGCCTCTCCGCCGCGCCGAGGTCCGCGGTGGCGCGCGGCAGCCGCCCGCCAAGGGCGACTCCGCTCCGCGGCTCCTCTGCCTCTGCCAGCAGCAGCGATCGCGGCGCCTCGGCCGGCGACGGCGCGCCGTTGCGTCAAAACGCGCTGACGAACTTCAGCCCTCTCACAACGGGAGTGGCGACCGGAAAAGCGGCTCAATGCGTCCCTGTCGACCTGCGGCTGGCCGTGCTGCTGGGCGGATTCGCGTTTGAGGCGTACTCGACTCCGGAGCAGGTGTGGTGTGGGTACATGCTGGCTAGTTTGAGGTTTCTTGGAGGCGCGCAACCTGAGGTTACATCATCGCCCTCATACTAGTTTGAGGGGAAGGTGAATTTAGTGGGTCCGCTGTTAGAGAGGGGCAATGGAGGAAGGAAAAGAAGGAGGGATAGATAATGGTGGGTTGAGGCAGCAAGGGAAGGTGGTATGGACGAGGCAGGTGGCTGTGGGGTCTGGGAGGGGGGGGGGGGGGATAAGGACAGCAGTTGTGCCGGATGCTGCACCGTTTGAGATGTCTCAGAAGTCGTTCAGAACATTTCATTACACATTGGTAATAATAACAATAATAATAGCAATAATAATATTAGTTTAGATAACACAAAATTGACGATCCATAGACATAGACGGGCGCTAGTGCTGTGATGTTTCCTTCTCAAAAGCTTCCATTCTCTCATCCTTCCCATACCCCCAGCTATATCGAAATCACTTTTGAGAATTCTCAAAAGTCATTCTGTCATCCTTCCCATATCCCCAGGGGAGCGATAAGCTCTCAGATAAGGACGGCCAGGGGTGCGAAGCTCTCTTCACCTCCACGCCCTTCGCCCACGAGCTCTTTCAGGGGCAGCTCTCCGTGCGAGAACTGAGGGCCACCGTATGTCATGCCACACTGCCACTTCCTCCTCACTCCCTCAATCTCCCACCTACTCAACCCCTTTCTCACTCATTCACTCATTCGCCCTTTCACCTCTCTTCACCTCCATTCGTTTGGCACTCGAGCACTTTCAAGGCAGCTCTTCGTGCGAGCACTTCTTGTACCAGCTTTATGATTTCTCAAGAGTGGTGATCTGCTCTCGAGCTCTTCGTATTTGTGTTGCTCTCTTAGTTGTTCATTCGCTCATTCACTCACTTTCTCATCACTCACTCTCATTCACTCACTCACCCACTTCCATTCATTCACTCACTCACTTTCTCAATCACTCACTTCCATTCACTCACTAACCCATTCGACCTCACTCACTCACTTTCTCAATCACTCACTTCCATTCACTCACTAACCCATTCGACCTCACTCACTCACTCTTTTCTTGATCACTCCCTCCCTTCCATTCACTCACGTACTCATTCGACCCTCCCATGTACTCACTTACTCATACAACTTACAAGCCACTACATTCCATCCTGATCCCCTCACCCTATCCTCTATGCTTCAGGCGAACATCAAGGTGCGCCATGCTGAGCTGAGGCGACTTTTGAGTCGCCTCACAAGCCACCCCATTCTCTCACACCTTCTCTCATTCACTTCACTCTACTCCAACTCTCACCCCATCCTCCATCCTCTATACTTCAGGGGAACATCATGGCGCGCCATGCTGAGCTGGCGCTGGTGACGTCAGCAGGGAAGCCCGCCACGTGGAATGGCGTCGCTTGCACCAGCAAGGCTGAAAAGTGAGTTGGCGCCTGTGTTGCCCTGCCACACTCGCCCATGGACACGTCGCATTCTCACATTCATTCTCACATTCGTCTTTTGGAGATTCCTTGGCAGAATGCCATCAGTCACGTCACCCTCAGCATGAAGGCTCCAGTTTGAGCCGGCTCTGTGCTACTCTGCCTGCCATACTCGCATGGACACATCGCATTCTCTCACTCATTCTCACATCCGTTCTCGCATTCGTCCTCGCATTTATGGTCACATCACATCACAGCCAATAGCACGTGCCCACAATTCGTCTTCTCTCCGCCTGCCTCCCCCTCCCCCTTTCCTGCTTCTCCTCAGCTCGAAGTACCCATCATGGGGCCAGCAACTGCAGCTGCTGGCGCCTCGTTAACCAACTCACCCAGTTGATTCCTCTCTTCCACCCTCTCTCCATCTCAGCCTAAAGAACCCATCATGGGGCCAGCAACAGAAACTGCAGCTGCAGCTGCTGGTGCCGGGGATCCTGCTGTGGATGGTGCCCCGTGATAACACAAGAGTTTTGAGACGTCTCAGAACTCAGACGTTTCAAAACTCAGACGTCTCAAAACTCAGACGTCTCAAAACTCAGACGTCTCAAAACTCAGACGTCTCTAAAACTCAGATGTCACAAAACTCAGACGTCTCAAAACTCAGACGTCTCAAAACTCAGACCTTTCAAAACTCGGACGTCTCAAAACTCAGACGTCTCAAAACTCAGACGTCTCAAAACTCAGACGTCTCATAAATGTTATTTACATCCACTTCCACCCCTCCCCGCCTACCCGCCCTCCCCTCCCCCCCTCCCCCCCCCTTCACCCCTCCCCCCTCCCTGCTTCCCCTACCCAGCCTGATGAACCCATCGTGGCCCGAACAACTGCAGCTGCTGGTGCCTCGTGCTTCTCCCTCTGACACCTACTTTCAGGTCTTCTTTCAGGTAATCCAGTAATTCTCTCTTGGTTTGCATTATTGGCCGCAGGTGGTGCTTTGTTGGCCCCAGGTGGTGCTTTGTTGGCCCCAGGTGGTGCTTTGTTGGCCGCAGGTGGTGCTTTGTTGGCCACAGGTGGTGCTTTGTTGGCCCCAGGTGGTGCTTTGTTGGCCCCAGGTGGTGCTTTGTTGGCCGCAGGTGGTGCTTTGTTGGCCCCAGGTGGTGCTTTGTTGGCCCCAGGTGGTGCTTTGTTGGCCCCAGGTGGTGCTTTGTTGGCCCCATGTGGTGCTTTGTTGGCCCCAGGTGGTGCTTTGTTGCTTCCAGGTGGTGCTTTGTTGGCTCCAGGTGGTGCTCTGTTGACCCCAGGTGGTGCTCTGTTGGCCCCAGGTGGTGCTCTGTTGGCCCCAGGTGGTGCTCTGTTGGTCCCAGGTGAATCTTTCCTCCCCCGACGTGACGTAGATGCTGCTGGTGCTGCTGATGCTGCTGATGCTGCTGTTGCTGCTGGTGCTGCTGATGCTGCTGACGATGCTGATGTTGTTGGGATATATTTCGAAGGGAAGTTGCGTTGCGACAACCAGTCTTTCTCTCTCCTTCTGCCCCCTCACCGTCTCATCAACCTGTCTTTCTCCCTCCCTTCTGCAACTCTCCTTTCTCTCCTCTCTGCCCCCTCACCGCCCGTCCTCCCCATCAATAGATCAACTTGCACGGTTGGGATGCTGACAATGATGGTGAAGACAGAAACGATCGTGTGCTGCCTCTTGAGTCGTCTCAAAAGTCTTCCATCTCTCCCTCTGCCCACTCACCGTCCCATCAACAGATCAACTTGCACGGTGGGAATGCTGACAACAACGATGACAACACAAACTATTGTGTGGTGACATTTGAGTCGACTCAAAAGTCCTACCTTCTCTCCTCTCGACCCTCTCACCGCCCCATTCATCAACAGATCAACTTGCACTATTGGAATGCTGACAATGACGATGACGACACAAACGATTATGAGGTTGGCACGGCCACCATTGCCCTCAATGACTTGATCAAAGGTGGGGTTGAGGAGGATGCGGCGTGTGAGTGAAGGTGACTGTGTGGGTGGCTTGGCACGGCCACCATTACTCTCACTGGCTTGGTCAAAGGTGGGGGTGAGGGTGTGTTAGACGCTTCACTTGTCTCAATCCTTCGTGTCCACTCAATGCTCTAAACCGCTCTTCACTGCTCGCCACTGCTCTCCACCACTCTTCACCGCCCTTCACCCTCTCCATCCCTCTCCATCCCTCTCTGTGCGCAGGTTCAAACACCCGAATTCCCGAGGTCGTAGGGCTTACGCTGACTCACGACGACAAAAAGACAGGCAGTGTTTCCATGGAGGTATGTGGGAGGGAGGTGGGTTTGGGGTAGGTGTGGCTGGGGTGGGTAAGTTTGGAGGGGTGCATAGTGGTTGGTGGGCCTTACACCGACTCACGATGGCAAAACGACAGGCAGTGTCTCCATGGAGGTATGTATGTGTGTGGGAGGGAGGTGCATCTGGGGTAGGTAGGTTTGGATCACGAATGTAGTCCTTCTCTTTGAAGTTAAGCTACCTGTGCATGTGCGTTGCTGAGAAGAAATAAATCGTTCCCTGAGAAGCGATTTTTACTCCACTGTCAAGAAGCTTTTACATATTCCGTGGTTCTGTAACTGCGACTGACTGTCCATAGCCCCGTGCAACTTTTGAGGCGCCTCAAAAAGCGTGCAACTTTGGAGGCGCCTAAAAAATCGTGCAACTTTGGAGGCGTCTCAAAAATCGCTTTTACATTCTGTGGATCTGTAACTGTGACTGAGTGTCCATTGCCCCGTGCAACTATCACTGCCCCGTCCTACTCCAAGCGTCTTGCTTGCTTGCCTTGCTCACTCCCCTCCCCCTTTGGCAGGTGGGCTATACAAGCTTCTCCGATCCTCGCAAGAGGTAGGGGGGGTAAGAGAGAGAGAGAGATAGAGAGAGAGAGAGAGAGAGAGAGAGAGAGAGAGAGAGAGAGAGAGAGAGAGAGAGAGAGAGAGAGAGAGAGAGAGATTCCAAATTTGGTGATTCCAAATTTTCCGGTGCTCGTTTCGAGAGAGCGAGAGAAAGGGGGACTTAGCCTCTTCCCTCCTAGCCTCTTCCCCTTCCCCCAGCTATATAATGGCCAGCCGGCACCTTCCCTAGCTCATTATTCATTTGGTGATTCCAAATTTTCCGGCGCTTCGCGCCGGCGGCCTTCGGCCCCTGGCGCTCGCGTGCGCGGCCTACGACCGCGCATCTTAGGAGGCAAGCTTAGGTAACAGGACAACTTTAGCAGACAGCATGGCGACAAACATCATCAACTAGCAGGCATCATGGAGAAGGTCTACACAAGACAAAGGGGGGCACCTACATGCGGTCCGCCCCCAGAAACGAGAGCATTGCGCGCGTGGTCTGCCACAAGTGGCGGACCACTGACACGCAGGCGGTTAGAGCATCTCCGGGTGTGCCTTCAGCCGACCCTGCAATGTGCCTCAGATCCAGGGCCGCGCGAGCCAGCAGGTTGGCCGCGTCTGCACCCGGAGAGGGCGCTGCCTGCAGTGGTGCCAAGAGGGATAGGATCTCATCCGCCGCCCCCAAGCACGCTGCTTGCGGTTTCTCAGCAAATGTGCTCGGGCGGGATATCGGCATCGACGCACGCGTCGACCGGAGAACACGCGCCAGTGCCTCTAGGCACTCTGACAGTATCCACAGCTGACGCAGGGTCGCCGTGGAACATGAATACTCCGCCTCCTCAAGGCGAGGACGAGGGTCACGATACGGACCCCTTGCTGGGCCTCCGCCAGCGCCAACAAAACCCGGGAGAACAGGCGGCTGCTGGACAGAGCGCGGCGGGGACACCGCACGGTTGGCTACCTCGACAATGGCGTGAAGAGAACGAGGAGCGTCTGGCGGAACGGAGCGACAGGCTATCGCTGCCTGCGACTCACGGAGAGCAGTTGCGAGCACGTCCGGAAGCCTCTCCAGGGCGCGCGCAAAGTCCGACGCAGACTGGCGACCCCCGCCCCCGCGTCCGCGGCCCCTGCGACTGCAACGCCGACCACGACTATTCGACCACGAGCGGGCTGGAGATTGGGGCCGGGACGTGCTGCGCGGGCAGAGCGCAGGGGATCGCTCACGACGCGATGGAGAATGGTGCCGCCGGCGCTTCACCGGCGATTCGTGCGGAGAACGGCGAGCAGGAGAGCGACGCCCTGAGGATCGGCGCGCGGGTGAATGACAGCGAGGCGAATGGCGAGATGGGGAACGGTGACTCGGCGAATGACGCCCAGGGGAACGGCTGCGGCTCCCCTGACGACGAGGGGAGCGACGCTCGCGGCGATCTTCACGCCGCCCCTCGCAGCGTTCGTCACGAGGCTCAAGCGTCCGACGACGCGGAGAACGCCCCCGGTGCGGCTCCGCCAAGGCGCCAGAACGCACAGCGGACTCCGCACGGGTTGCCACTCTCGGAGGCGAATCAGCGACGCGCGGCCCGGGAGGACGGCGCTGGTCCTCAAATCGGCGCCGGATTTGGTCCGCAGCAGCGGGAGGACGAGCAGGAACGCTCACCGCCGGGCGTGGCGGAAGCACAGGTGCACTCTCCGCGGTACACTCGCGGTCGTGGGCGGACGGAAGCACCATCTGCGCAAGCACAAGGCGCAATTCCAACACAAGGGGAGCCTACAACCCCGACTCTCCCCACGCAACAGGCGGCGCTAGCAGCAGGGACCCCGCAGAGCGGACGGGGAAGCGCGCGGGGGAGAGGATCGCGACGAGGAGCGTGCGGAGGACAGAGGAGCGCAGTTCAAGCGGCGAGGGGGCGCGGGCGCCAACCACCGAGCCTAATCTGACTAGGGGAGCCGGCGGAACGAATCACGTGGCAGTCGTTCGCTAGGCGCGGGGCGAGAGGTGGTGCACCAGCGCAAGCAGGGAGGAACGTCGATATCATCAGAGAGGCGAGCGACGAGGACTATATACCGTCAGATCTGAGGCAACCTGACAATCCCGACTCACCTCGCGCGGAATTAGGAGAGGAGGTGGCGCAGCAACAGGAGAGAGGAACCAACCGCAGACAGCAGCGCAGAGCCCAGCCCCCACCGGACCAAGCCCTATCTGCGTCCCAGCTGGCCTCGCGGGAGGATCTTTTCCAGATCGCGATGACCTGGGACCTTACACTCCTAACATCCATCACCCACCAACCAATCGTCCGCCGACTGCCGCCGCAGATCCTCAGCGACTACTCCACCTGTATGCTGGCTGCCTTACTACGGATCTCAAAGCTGCCTAATTGCGCAGGAGCGTGGCGGGTCCTCATGTTCCTGCCACGTCTAACGCTAAGACTCAGCCGGAGATCCAGCTCTAGGTGGAAACTACTGCAGGCACAGATGCATCTATCCCGATGTGGCCACTGGACCCAGCTGTACACCGAATACTTGGGGTCAATGCACCTGGTCGAACCACCTCAGCACCAACGTGACCCGCTGGGAATCTGCTCACGTGCGGAGGGGTTGGTGAAAAGGGGTAACCTGCGAAAGGCGTTAGCGGCCCTTCAACCCTCGCCATCAGCACCAGCGACATTCCCGACACTGCAGCAGCTGGAGTCGAAACACCCCCAACCCCAAAATGACCTGCTCGACTGGGTCCACTCCTACACGACACCCACACAATTTTCAACCACCCTGGAAAGCTTTTCGGACGTCCTCGGGGAATGCCCCAGGGGGATTGGGGCTGGCCCATCGGGGTCAACCTTCGAACACTACCGCGATCCAGCGCTAAGTAACATCGAGGTACTAGGGCACCTCCAGTCCGCCGTTAAACACCTTCTCTCGACAAACCTTTCCACCGAGGTTGCAGCCCTACTCGCCCCGTCCCGCCTTATAGCCTTCGCCAAACCAGGGGGGGGGGTACGCCCAATCGCGATCGGAGAAACATTGCTTAGGCTGGCGGCGAAAGTGGCACTCTCAGACGTGCAAGGAGAAACGCGAAAATTTTTCCTACCTCAGCAATTTGGCGTGGCAGTCCCGGGAGGTGCTGAGTTCGTCATCCATGCAGTCAGAGACCTCACCACCGTACAGCCCTCCAGCCTAGTCCTCCAACTCGACATTGAGAACGCGTTCAACTCAGTCGAGAGGAGCGCGTTCTTCAACGCACTTATCGGCGCCCCGCTAGCCCCCCTCATCCCCTTCACACGCTCTTTCTACGCATCACCATCACCGCTGCTGCTAGATCCATGCTTTACTTCCACAGCACTCACCAGCGGAAGAGGAGTCAGACAGGGGGATCCCCTCGGACCCCTGCTATTCGCGGCGTCTATCCAGCAGCACCCCAGGCACGTGGCAGCGGAGCACCCGGAAGTCACCGTCCTCGCGTACGCAGACGACATAACCATGATTGGACCCGCGACGGCGACGCTAGACGTGCTAAGGGAGCTCACGCCGCTACTAGCACTGTATGGCCTCACCTGCAACTTTATGAAATCGTCGGCGTGGTCCTCCATGCCGCTTGGAGGTGTCGTGCTCCCTGAAGGCCTCCCCCACACCCACGAGGGGGTACGGGTGTTGGGAAGTCCTGTGAGGTCGCAGAGCTTCTGCTCTGCCTTTGTCCGCAGTACCCTGACAGACGCGGCAGCCCCCTTGGGTTCTCTGGCGTCCATCCACCCACAACATGCCCTCGTGCTACTGTCCCGTTGCATCAGCCGCAGAATCGGCTACCTGCTACGCACTACCCCAGCAGACGTCTTACCCCTCTCGGAATGGCGCACATGGTGCTCCGAACTACTGCACACGGCCTTGACCGCCGCCAACATTCAACCGCCACGCCGAGAAGCCGAGTTCAACTTCTTGCTCCGACAAGCAACCCTTCCAGTCGCCCTGGGCGGGCTGGGACTTACAGACCCCACAACAGAAGCAGCACCGGCCTACCTGGCATCAACGACGGAGGCGCTACGACTGCTCCGCTCCCTTGACCTACCAGCAACCGCAGCATTGGGGGCCAACAACAACACCCTGCAGCCGTCCGCAGCGCACTCGGTAACCATCCAGGACATGGAGGGGCGCCTGCCACCGCTGGCGCTACAAAACCTCCGGGAGGAGCAGCAAACCCCGTCCCAAGACCAGCTGCAACGCGCCCTCTCTCAGGAGGTACACGCGGCAAAGGCTGACGCCTTGACAGAGGAGTCACGCACCATCCAGTCAGCCCCCGAGATGGGTCACTCACTCCGCCTCATCAGCCTGAGAGGGGAGGGAGCGGGAGCATGGCTGCAGGCCCTACCTTTGACCCCGGACCTTTGCTTCTCACCGGGACAATTCCGAGCAGCCCTGGCCTTCCGCATGGGCATCCGCCAGAATGTACCCACTGTGTGCGAGTGTGGAGAACTCGTAGCCGACTGCAGCCTACCCAACCACCTACTCCGCTGCAGCACAGGCCCCGACAGGACACGCACACACAACCAGCTAGCTTTTGCCGTGGCTAAAATGGCAAGGGAAGCAGAGCTGGTGGTATACTTGGAGAACGCCATGTACTCACCGCCGGATGACCCGAAGAAAGCAGATGTGATTGTGCGCGACCCGGACAGTGGAGAGACTTGGATCACAGACACGACTATCACCGACCCTGTGCTGCAGAACCGGGACCCCACAACCCGCAAACCCCCAGGCTGGGCTGCTAGAGAGGCACTGAGGCGGAAGGAGAGGGAGTACTACCGACACACGGAACACGTGGTGTTCTGCGCCCTAGCCGTCGAGACCTACGGGGCAAACACGCCCACCACGACTGCGTTCCTGAAGGTGCTGGCCACAGCAGCAGCTAGGAACCGGTTCAGGGCCAACCCCCTGGCGAAATCGGCCAAGAAGATGGCCTGCCACTTCAGCCAGCGCTGGTCAGTGGCCCTCTAGCGCTCCCAGGCGAATGCCCTGCACACCAAGGCAAGGGCTGGGATCGAGGCAGCGCACCCCTAGATGGCAGCGGACCCCTGGCCGCTGCACCTGGGGGACATCCTCCACACGCTGGAGGGCTAGAGGGTCACTCAGGGGGGGGGTGAAGAGTGGTGAGTTTTGGGGCTTAAGGGATGGAGGTTATCATGGATAGCACCGCATGTTTGTACCCCTGCTGAATTAATACAAAGGACCGTTTGAGAGAGAGAGAGAGAGAGAGAGAGAGAGAGAGAGAGAGAGAGAGAGAGAGAGAGAGAGAGAGAGAGAGAGAGAGAGAGAGAGAGAGAGAGAGAGAGAGAGAGAGGATACCCCTTAGCCCTCTGCCCTCTGCCTCACCCCTCTGCCCTCCGCCCTCCAGAGCTATTTAAGGGCTGTTTCTCTCTCCCCCTCCTCATTATTTCGTGTGGAGTTCATTTCCGGCGGCTCGCGCCGGCGGCCTTCGGCCGCCGCCGCTCGCCAGCGCGGCCTTCGGCCGCGCGCTCCTGGTGGCAAGGAACAAGGCAGTGGACTGCTATTCCAGGAGAAACACGCATGCACAGGAATCAAGGGAGCAGAGCCTAGGCAAGAGAGAACGGCATGCAATATTACACGCGACGGAGGCCTACATCGTGTACGGCTCCGCCCCCTCCATCTCAAGCATCGAGCGCATACACGCCGATACCGCAAGAAGAAGATGCGCCGATGACTGGAGCACGTCCAGGGGGGTCCCGGCCTGAGCAGCCCCTACAAGATCCCCCACGTGGCGGGGGAAAGTACGGGCTAAGGGAGCTACCCCGGCGGGCGCTTCCGACACGGGCGCCAACGGCGACTCGAGCGATCCTGCCAAAGTCACGCAGGATCCTCGGGATCCTGAACCGAAACTGCTCGGAAAGTTCCGGGTGGCCCCACACACTGCCAGCTGCAAGTTCGCCACCACCTCGCACGCCTCCGCCAGATTCAATATCCGGCACATGGTCAGCATGGGGTCTCTCCCCACGGGATTGGGGTGAGGTGCAGTCTGCTCTTCGAGCGGAAACGACGCCGACCAGCCAGGAACGCGGCCAACAGTCAAGCGCCCAGCGGAGAAGCCAGGAACCTGACGAGGGGAGCGATAGTCGGGTCTCCCCACCCGCGCGGGCAGATACTCGGCCAACATCGGCGCGCGCAGTGGGGCCACCGGGCCGGGATCCGCGGCAAAGGGAGGGCCATTTGTCACCTCGATGTGAACGTGAGTCGGCCCCCCGCTCGCCCGGGCCTGCCGCACCACATCCACGAATGTGTTCGCAGCGTGATCAAGAGCAGGATCCGGCTGGCGGCCAGATGAGCCGCGCCCTCCGCCATTCCGCCGGCCCCGCCGCCCAGCGGAACCACCCGAATTCGGACGCGGAGGGGACTGCTCGCGACGACCTGATTCCCAGCGACGCCCAGGCGACCCCTTCCCCCGCGTCGCCGGAGCTCGCCGCGGTGATTGTTGAGCGGGGGATCGCGCTCGGGGTGAGCGCTGGCCTGCTCGACCACGAGGAGACGGGCGCCGAGGAGAGCGAGGACGCTCAGGGGAGCGCGGATCCCCCTCCCTGCGCTGATAATGTTCGCGACGCGCGGGAGATAGGCGACGAGGAGACGGCTGCCGTTGGGGATGACGCTGAGGCGAGCGCCCGCGCTGCTGCGGCTGCTGACCGTCAGGACGGTTCGACGCTACACGCGCAGGAGCCCACGAATACTCAGGGGGGGGGAGGCGCGAGGCTGGCTGATGGGGAAGAGTCTGCACCCGCTCGAATCGGTGAACGGGCTCGCTTGCGGAGGGATGCGCAGGAAGTCGTGGCCGAGGCTCGGCAGGCGCAGGCTCCCGCGGCGCGCTCTCCGCGGAATGCTCAAGCTCCGGATCCCGTCTTGCGGACGGGTCCATCACTCCCGACCGTAGCGCAGCAGATGCCAGCGCGCCGACGAAGGGAAGGCGAGACGACCGCGGCGCCGCTGGCGGGGCGCGAGGGAGTCGCAGTAGCAAGAGCAACGCGCGGAATCTGCGTCGGACGCGGCAGTCGCCGCGGACGAAGGGGTAGCGAGCGGGGACGGAGAGGCGGCGGTGCGCGGGGCACGAACAGACGCCGCACAGGAGCCAGCGGCTTCGCGAGAAACGCGGAGAGGCTGATACGTCAGAGCGCGAGAGGCGGCGAGGAGGAACTTCGCGAGGAGGCTGAGGAGGCTACGGAGAATGAGAGAAGTGACGAGGGGGACCCCTTATTTAACCCTGAAAGAGAGGGGTTGTTAGGGGTTGAAGTCGAGGAGGATGACGAGGAGTTGGATCGCCTACTCCAAGGAGAGGAGGTCCCCAGCCCACGTGCCCGAGGCGTTCCTGCCAACCAAACCAGATCCGAAGGTGTGGGGCAAATCCCAAACCTGGGCCGAGCCGCATCTGCAACCCCAACCCCCAGAAATCGGACCGCGAGACCAAACCGAACCGCCCCCAACATTGCGGTTACCACCGCCCCAGCCAGTAACGCGGGCCCAACGCCTGCCACCCCCGCCCCAATCATCAGCGCTGACATCCTGGCAAGACGTCAAGACCTTTTCGCTGACATCGCCAACTGGGACCTCGGCCCGCTGCGCGACAGCAGACAGCCACCCCTTGCCCGCCACCCTCCTCGCCCACTTCGCGAATCCTTCGCCATCTGCCTGCTGACCCCACTTCTGCACCTCGCCATAACCCCTGATTCCACTCCTGGTTGGAAGCTGCTGATGTTTCTCCCGCGAATTCTCCTGCGCTCGTCATCTGCACGAAAACCAGACTGGAAGGCAATGGGCGACAGACTGACGAGATTTCGCCAAGGGCAGTGGCGCGGCCTTTACGACGAGGCGGCAGAAGCAGTGAACAACAACCCCCAACCACGCCACGTACCTGACACCACGGGAAAGCTGGCGAGAGCCGAGGGATTAGCGAAAAGGGGAAACCTGGCGAAGTCCCTCCAGTCGCTAACTGCCACGCCCGTCTGCTCGCCAACCCCTGACGTATTGGCTGCGCTCACGGCCAGGCACCCAAGGGCCACCGCTGCCATCCCAGTCTGGGTGCAAGACTTTGCCCCTGAGACTCTGCCCTCAATCACAGCTCGCGAGTTCAGGAAGCTGCTTGCCCGTTGCCCCAACGGCGTAGGGGCTGGGCCATCAGGGACTACCTTCGAGCACTTGAGAGATGCGGCCCTTGGGAACACCGACGTCCTCCTACAACTGCACGCGCTTACCAACACGGCGCTAGCGGGTAAACTGAGCGCCGAGGCTGCAGATCTACTCACCGCTTCGCGCCTGCTCGCCTTCACGAAACCCCAAGGCGGAACTAGGCCAATAGCCGTGGGCGAATGTCTGCTGCGTATTGTCACAAAGGCGGCGCTCTTCCTGGCCGCCCCTGCAGCGCGCGACCACTTCACCCCGCTACAATTCGGTGTGGCGATCGCGGGGGGCATCGAGGCAGCGATACACGCGGCCCGCACCTACCTGGAGGAGTTCCCCGGAGCAACGGCCCTCCAGATCGACCTGGCAAACGCTTTCAATGCCGTGGAGCGCGCGGCGGTGTTTGAAGGACTGAAAGGCACGAAGCTTGACACCCTGGTCCCCCTCGTCCGCCTCTCATACGGCCGCCCATCAGCCCTCTACCTCGACCACGATTTCGAGGCGGCGCCTCTACAGAGCGCGCGAGGCGTGCGCCAGGGTGACCCACTGGGGCCTATGCTGTTCGCGGCCAGCATCCACCCCTGTCTCGCTGCAACGGCGACGGCCCACCCAGAGGTGGTGCTCCTCGCGTACGCAGATGACATCACCCTGCTAGGCGAGACTGCGAGCTGCACGGCGGCCTTCAACCACCTCACGGAAGCACTTCTCAGCCACGGCCTGTCCCACAACCCCGCGAAATGCGAAGCATGGTCCGCCACAGCCCTGGAGCCCGCCGCTCTGCCCCACGGCGTCACTATCTCCCGGGACGGGATCCGCGTCTTGGGCAGCCCGATTGGGCCCCCCGCCGGCTGCGCTGCCCGAGTGCGGGAACGCCTTAAAGCTGCTGCTGAACCGCTCCCGCTCCTCTCCCAGATGGACCCGCAACTCTGCCTGCTCCTACTTACCCGCTGCGTGAGCCGCCGCGCTTCGTTCATGGTCAGAGCCACGCCGCTTGAAGCCCTACCGCTGAGGGAATGGTCCGCCTGGGGGGAAGAACTGTTCCATACCTACCTTGCCGCAGCACACACAGAAATCCCCAGAGCCCGGGTCGAGAGGGAGAGGATTTGGCACCAGGCCGCCCTGCCCGCGTCCCTGGGAGGCCTGGGCATCACCAACCCTGCAGTGGAGGGGGGACATGCCTACCTGGCTGCAGTCACTGCTGCTGCACACCTGCTGCGAACCTTCGGCGACGCGGCAAACCCTGCTCTCACTGGACTGCTGCCGCTAATGGACTCCAACGAGGAATCTACGTCCCTCCTCCCAAGGCGCCTTGCTGCCCTAGAAGCCGTGCTGCCTCCTGAGGGGATCGAGGCCCTCCAAGTGGGGAGACAGAGACCGGACGGGCCAAAGCTCCAACAGTCGCTCTCCCTCGCGGTTCAAACTGCAAGGTTCATGCAACTGCTCGAGAGCTCGCGGGAGATGGAGCTCAACCCACTGTTCGGACACACGCAGCGGCTGCAGTCCCTCTTGGGCCCCGGCGCAGGGGACTGGCTGCTCGCCGTCCCGCTGATCTCCTCCCTCCGCCTCGGGCCCTCTCAGTTCTCCACAGCGGCCTCCTTCCGCTTAGGCCTCCCCCTACCTGTGCCAAGGCGCTGCGACTGCAGATACCGCACCACATTCCCCGACGACCGCCTACCGAACCATTTGATGCGGTGCGAGAAAGGGGGGGGGAGAATTGCAACCCACAATGCCCTTCGGGACGAGTGCGCAAAGATAGCTGCGGAAGCGGGCTTCACCGTGCATAAGGAGACAACGGCTTACTCACCGGTCGAAAACCTCAAAGCGGATATCTCTATCCGCCATCCCGACACCGGTGAAGTGTGGATCTGTGACATCACGGTCACGGACCCCGTCTCCCACCAGGATGAATACGCCCGTAAAGCTCCCGGTTGGGCTGCTAGAATGCAGGCGGACAAGAAGGCAAGCAAATACGCCAGGCGGAGCGCTTGGGTGGGCTTTTACGCCTTGGCGGTTGAGACCTACGGTTACCCCTCGAGTGGAGTCCTGGAATTCCTTCGCAGCTGCGCGGAGTTAGCGGCCATGCGGCGGTTCAACGCCACCCCCAAGTCGAGGGAATGCGCCAAGCTACTCACCGAGTACCGGCAGCGGTGGAGTGTGACCCTGCAGAGAGCGCAAGCCACTGCCCTCAGGGATAAGACCCATGAGGCCCTCACAGCGGATGTGCTCGGCCTGCAGGGCCCGTTTACTCCAATGAGCGAGGGGCAGCTGTATCAGTTGATAGAAGACCCCTCCGGCCATTAGGGCCGGGCGGGGAGGGGGGGGCTGGGGCTGGGGTAGTGCAAGGTTAGCTGTTGTTTTGCTGTAGCCTTGCTGCGAGACTGCTGTAGCCTTACCATGTGTGTACCTTGCTGACATTAATACCAAGGACCGTTCGAGAGAGAGTGAAGGGCTCCGCACCGCCACAGCGGAAGACCCACCCACTATCGAAGCTCGCGACTTCAGACGCCTCCTCGCCAAACTCCCCAACGGAGTAGGGGCCGGCCCATCTGGAACAACCTTCGAGCACATCCGCGACGCAGCCCTGGGCAACGCCGAAGTACTCACCCACCTCCTCGCCCTCACTAACACAGCTCTAGCAGGAAAACTCCCCACAGTCGCTAGGGATCTTCTAACGGCATCCCGCCTGTTAGCATTTACGAAACCACAGGGAGGGACGCGGCCGATTGCGGTGGGGGAGTGCCTCCTCCGGATAATAGCAAAAGCCGCGCTCTTCCTCACTGCGCCGGCCGCTCCGCTCGTACCCACTTTGCTCCGCTTCAGTTCGGAGTCGCAGTAGCGGGAGGGATTGAAGCGGCTATCCACTCCGCTCGCACGTACCTGGAAGTGCACCGAGGGGCAGTGGCGCTGCAGATTGACCTCGCGAATGCGTTCAACGCGGTCGAAAGGAGGGCGGTGTTTGAAGGACTGAAAAACGAGGCGCTGAAGGAACTGATTCCCCTCGTCCGCCTTTCCTATGGGACTCCCTCCTCGCTCTTCCTCGACCACGACTTCGGCGCAGCCCCGCTGCAGAGCGCCAGGGGTGTTCGCCAAGGAGACCCGTTCAGCCCACTCCTGTTCGCGGCTAGCATCCACCCGTGCCTCGTGGACACGGCGGCTGCACACCCTCAGGTGGTCCTGCTGGCGTACGCCGATGATATCACGCTGCTCGGCGACGCCACGGCCTGCTCTGCGGCTTTCGACCACCTCACCTCTGCTTTAGCCGCCCTCGGCCTGGTGCACAATCCGGCTAAGTGCGCGGCGTGGTCCGCCGCAGCAATCGACGCCTCCTCAGTCCCCCCAGGCGTCACTATCTCTGAGGAGGGTTTGCAGATTCTCGGCAGCCCCGTGGGCACTGCCCGAGGCTGCGCAGATGCTGTGAGAGCGAGATTGGAAGCAGCAGCAGCGCCTCTCCCCCTGCTGGCCCAGATGGACCCCCAACTTGCCCTCCTCCTCCTCACCCGCTGTGTCAGCCGCCGAGCTTCCTTCCTGGCCAGAAGCACCCCCCTAGAGGCCCTCCCTGAAGCCGAATGGTCCGCTTGGGGGGAACAACTCCTTCACACCTTCCTAGACTCGGCCCACATCATGAGGCCGAGGAGCGTCAGGGAGAGACGGAGGATTTGGCAGCAGGCGGCCCTGCCAGTGACTTTGGGAGGCCTGGGCATCACTGACCCCGCCGTTGAAGGCAGCTATGCCTACCTCGCATCAGTGATCAGCACAGCCCACCTCTTGCACTCCCTGGAGGACTCGTTGCACCCCGCTGTCGCCGCGTTCCTCCCCCTTTTGGACCCAACCCACGGCTCCCCACACGCGCTACCTGCACGCCTCGCCGCGGCTGAGGCCGCCCTGCCCCCCGAGGCTCTCGAGGTGCTGCAGGCCGGGAAGGCTGACCCCAAGGGACTGAAGCTGCAGCAGAACCTAGCACTGGCGGTCCACTCCCGCCGCTTCCTGAGAGTCATGCGCGAGGCGAGGCGGATGCGCCCCAACCCCCGTTCTGGCCACGCGCAACGGATGCAGTCGGTGCCAGGCCCAGGGGCGAGGGACTGGCTGCTGGCGATCCCGCTCACCCCCTCGCTCCGGATGGGCCCGTCCCAGCTCTCAACTGCAGCTGCCTTCCGCCTAGGCCTCCCCCTTCCCGTGCCTAGACGCTGTGACTGCCGCTACCGCACCACCTTCCCCGCCGACCGCCTCCCCAACCACCTCATGCGCTGTGAGAAGGGGAAAGGGAGGACCGCAACCCACCACGCTCTGCGGGATGAGATAGCGAACATAGGGGCGGAAGCGGGGTTTACGGTTCACAAGGAGACGTATGTCTACTCACTGGTTGAAAACCTCAAGGCGGATGTCACCATCCGTCATCCCCTGACTGGTGAGGTTTGGATGTGCGACGTGACCGTGACGGACCTGGTGTCAAGGCAGGACGAGAACTGCAACCGAGCTCCTGGATGGGCGGCCAGGGCGGCAGCAGAGAAAAAGGAGGATAAGTACGCACGGCGGAACGCGTGGGTAGGGTTCCACGCGCTTGCCAGGGGTGATGGCTTATGGCTACCCCTCGCCAGGGGTGATGGCTTACCTGCGGCAGTGCGCAGAGCTGGCGGCAAAGCTGCGGTTTAATGCGGCTCCTACCTCCTACGAAGCAGCGAAGCTGCTGTCGGAGTACCGCCAGCGCTGGAGCGTGTGCCTCCAGCGGGCGCAGGCCAACGCCCTCCGCTCCAAGACCAACGAGGCCTTGGCGGCGGACGAGCTCGGCTTTAGAGGACCCAGCGGGAGAGAGCGAGAGAGAGAGAGAGAGGAAACCCCTTAGCCCTCTGCCCTCTGCCTCATCCCTCTGCCCTCCGCCCTCCAGAGCTATTTAAGGGCTGTTCCCCCCCTCCTTCTCCTCATTATTTTCGTGTGGAGTTCATTTCCAGCGGGAGAGAGCGAGAGAGAGAGAGAGGAAACCCCTTAGCCCTCTGCCCTCTGCCTCATCCCTCTGCCCTCCGCCCTCCAGAGCTATTTAAGGGCTGTTCCCCCCCTCCTTCTCCTCATTATTTTCGTGTGGAGTTCATTTCCAGCGGCTCGCGCCGGCGGCCTTCGGCCGCCGCCGCTCGCCAGCGCGGCCTTCGGCCGCGCGCTCCTGGTGGCAAGGAACAAGTCGGTGGATTGCTATACCAGGAAGAACACGCACGCAAAGGATTCAAGGGAGAAAAGCCTAGGCAAGAGAAAACGGCATGCAATACTACACGCGGCGGAGGCCTACATCGTGTACGGCTCCGCCCCCTCCATCTCAAGCATCGAGCGCATGCACGCCGATACCGCAAGAAGGAGATGCGCCGATGACTGGAGCATGTCCAGGGGGGTCCCGGCCTGAGCAGCCCCTACAAGATCCCCCACGTGGCGGGGGAAAGTACGGGCTAAGGGAGCTACCCCGGCGGGCGCTTCCGACACGGGCGCCAACGGCGACTCGAGCGATTCTGCCAAAGTCACGCAGGATCCTCGGGATCCTGGACCGAAACTGCTCGGAAAGTTCCGGGTGGCCCCACACACCGCCAGCTGCAAGCTCGCCACCACCTCGCTCGCCTCCGCCAGATTCAATATCCGGCACATGGTCAGCATGGGGTCTCTCCCCGCGGGATTGGGGAGAGGTGCGGTCTGCTCTTCGCGCGGAAACGACGCCGACCAGCCAGGAACGCGGCCAACAGTCATGCGCCCAGCGGAGAAGCCTGGAACCTGACGAGGGGAGCGATACTCGGGTCTCCCCACCCGCGCGGGCAGATACTCGGCCAGCATCGGCGCGCGCAGGGGGGCCACCTGGCCGGGATCCGCGGCAAAGGGAGGTCCATTCGTCACCTCGATGTGGACGTGAGTCGGCCCCCCGCTCGCCCGGGCCTGCCGCACCACATCCACGAAAGTGTTCGCAGCGTGATCAAGAGCAGGATCCGGCTGGCGGCCAGATGAGCCGCGCCCTCCGCCATTCCGCCAGCCCCGCCGCCCAGCGGAACCACCCGAATTCGGACGCGGAGGGGACTGCTCGCGGCGACCCGATTCCCAGCGACGCCCAGGCGACCCCCTCCCCCGCGTCGCCGGAGCTCGCCGCGGTGATTGTTGAGCGGGGGATCGCGCTCGGGGTGAGCGCGGGCCTGCTCGACCACGGGGGGACGGGCGCCGAGGAGAGCGAGGACGCTCAGGGGAGCACTGATCCCCCTTCCTGCGCTGATAATGCTCGCGACGCGCGGGAGAAGGGCGACGAGGAGACGGCTGCCGTAGGGGCTGACGCTGAGGCGAGTGCCCGCGCACCTGCGGCGGCTGACCGTCTGGACGGTTCGACGCAACACGCGCCGGAGCCCACGAATACTCAGGGGAGGAGGGGCGCACGGCTGGCTGATGGGGAAGAGTCTGCACCCGCTCGAAGCGGCGGACGGGCTCGCTTGCGGAGGGATGCGCAAGAAGACGCGTACGAGGCTCGGCAGGTGCAGGCTCCCGCGGCGCGCTCTCCGCGGAATGCTCAAGCTCCGGATCCCGTCTTGCGGACGGGTCCATCACTCCCGACCGTAGCGCAGCAGATGCCAGCGCGCCGACGAGGCGAGGACGAGACGACCGCGGTGCCGCAAGCGGAGCGCGAGGGAGTCGCGGCAGCAAGAGTAACGCGCGGAATCCGCGTCGGACGCGGCAGTCGCCGCGGACGAAGGGGTAGCGAGCGTGGACGGAGAGGTGGCGGTGCGCGGGGCACGAACAGACGCCGCACAGGAGCCAGCGGCTTCGCGAGAAACGCGGAGAGGCTGATACGACAGAGCGCAAGAGGCGGCGAGGAAGAACTTCGCGAGGAGACAGAGGAGGCTGCGGAGAATGAGGGAAGTGACGAGGGTGACCCCTTATTTAACCCTGATAGAGAGGGGTTGTTAGGGGCAAAAGTCGAGGAGGATGAAGAGGAGTTGGATCGCCTACTCCAGGGAGGGGAGGTCCCCAGCCCACGTGCCCGAGGCGACCCTGCCAACCGAACCACATCCGAAGGTGGGGGGCAAAATCCAAACCCGGGCCGAGCCGCATCTGCAACTCCAACCCCCAGAAATCGGACCGCGAGACCAAACGGAACCGCCCCCAACATTGCGGTTACCACCGCCCCAGCCAGTAACACGGGCCCAACGCCTGCCACCCACGCCCCAATCATCAGCGCTGACATCCTGGCAGGTCGTCAAGACCTTTTCGCTGACATCGCCAACTGGGACCTCGGCCCGCTGCGCGACAGCAGACAGCCACCCCTTGCCCGCCACCCACCTCGCCCACTTCGCGAATCCTTCGCCATCTGCCTGCTGACCCCACTTCTGCACCTCGCCAAAACCCCTGATTCCACATCTGGCTGGAAGCTGCTGATGTTTCTCCCGCGAATTCTCCTGCGCTCGTCATCTGCACGAAAACCAGACTGGAAGGCAATGGGCGACAGACTGACGAGATTTCGCCAAGGGCAGTGGCGCGGCCTTTACGACGAGGCGGCAGAAGCAGTGAACAACAACCCCCAACCACGCCACGTACCTGACACCACGGGAAAGCTGGCGAGAGCCGAGGGATTGGCGAAAAGGGGAAACCTAGCGAAGTCCCTCCAGTCGCTAACTGCCACGCCCGTCTGCTCGCCAACCCCTGACGTTTTGAGTGCGCTCACGGCCAGGCACCCAAGGGCAACCGCGGCTATCCCAGACTGGGTGCAGGACTTTGCCCCTGAGACTCTGCCCTCAATCACAGCTCGCGATTTCAGGAAGCTGCTTGCCCGTTGCCCCAACGGCGTAGGGGCTGGGCCATCAGGGACTACCTTCGAGCACCTGAGGGATGCGGCCCTTGGGAACGCCGACGTCCTCTTGCAACTGCACGCGCTTACCAACACGGCGCTAGCGGGTAAACTGAACGCCGAGGCTGCAGAACTACTCACCGCTTCGCGTCTGCTCGCCTTCACGAAACCCCAAGGCGGAACTAGGCCAATAGCCGTGGGTGAATGTCTGCTGCGTATTGTCACAAAGGCGGCGCTCTTCCTGGCCGCTCCTGCAGCGCGCGATCACTTCACCCCGCTACAATTCGGTGTGGCGATCGCGGGGGGCATCGAGGCAGCGATACACGCGGCTCGCACCTACCTGGAGGAGTTCCCTGGAGCAACGGCCCTCCAGATTGACCTGGCAAACGCTTTCAATGCCGTGGAGCGCGCGGCGGTGTTTGAAGGACTGAAAGGCACGAAGCTTGACACCCTGGTCCCCCTCGTCCGCCTCTCATACAGCCGCCCATCAGCCCTCTACCTCGACCACGACTTCGAGGCGGCGCCTCTACAGAGCGCGCGAGGCGTGCGCCAGGGTGACCCACTAGGTCCTATGCTGTTCGCGGCCAGCATCCACCCCTGTCTCGCTGCAACGGCGACGGCCCACCCAGAGGTGGTGCTCCTCGCGTACGCAGATGACATCACCCTGCTAGGCGAGACCGCGAGCTGCACGGCGGCCTTCAACCACCTCACGGAAGCCCTTCTCAGCCACGGCCTGTCCCACAACCCCGCGAAATGCGAAGCATGGTCCGCCACAGCCCTGGAGCCCGCCGCTCTGCCCCACGGCGTCACTATCTCCCGGGACGGGATCCGCGTCTTGGGCAGCCCGATTGGGCCCCCCGCCGGCTGCGCTGCCCGAGTGCGGGAACGCCTTACTGCTGCTGCTGAACCGCTCCCGCTCCTCTCCCAGATGGACCCGCAACTCTGCCTGCTCCTACTTACCCGCTGCGTGAGCCGCCGCGCTTCATTCATGGTCAGAACCACGCCGCTTGAAGCCCTACCTCTGAGGGAATGGTCCGCCTGGGGGGAAGAACTGTTCCATACCTACCTTGCCGCAGCACACACAGAAATCCCCAGAGCCCGGGTCGAGAGGGAGAGGATTTGGCACCAGGCCGCCCTGCCCGCGTCCCTGGGAGGCCTGGGCATCACCAACCCTGCAGTGGAGGGGGGATATGCTTACCTGGCTGCAGTCACTGCTGCTGCACACCTGCTGCGCTCCTTCGGCGACGCGGCAAACCCTGCTCTCACTGGACTCCTGCCGCTAATGGACTCCAACGAGGAATCTACGTCCCTCCTCCCAAGGCGCCTTGCCGCTCTGGAAGCCGAGCTGCCTCCTGAGGGGATCGAGGCTCTCCAAGTGGGGAGACTGAGACCGGACGGGCCAAAGCTCCAACAATCGCTCTCCCTCGCGGTTCAAACTGCAAGGTTCATGCAACTGCTCGAGAGCTCGCGGGAGATGGAGCTCAACCCACTGTTCGGACACACGCAGCGGCTGCAGTCCCTCTTGGGCCCCGGCGCAGGGGACTGGCTGCTCGCCGTCCCGCTGATCTCCTCCCTCCGCCTCGGGCCCTCTCAGTTCTCCACAGCGGCCTCCTTCCGCCTGGGCCTGCCCCTACCTGTGCCAAGGCGCTGTGACTGTAGATACCGCACCACATTCCCTGACGACCGTCTACCGAACCATTTGATGCGGTGCGAGAAAGGGGGGGGGAGAATTGCAACTCACAATGCCCTTCGGGACGAGTGCGCAAAGATAGCTGCGGAAGCGGGCTTCACCGTGCATAAGGAGACAACGGCTTACTCACCGGTCGAAAACCTCAAAGCGGATATCTCTATCCGCCATCCCGACACCGGTGAGGTGTGGATCTGTGACATCACGGTCACGGACCCCATCTCCCTCCAGGATGAATACGCCCGTAAAGCTCCCGGTTGGGCTGCTAGAATGCAGGCGGACAAGAAGGCAAGCAAATACGCCAGGCGGAGCGCTTGGGTGGGCTTTTACGCCCTCGCGGTTGAGACCTACGGTTACCCCTCGAGGGGAGTCCTGGAATTCCTTCGCAGCTGCGCGGAGTTAGCGGCCAGGCGGCGGTTCAACGCCACTCCCAAGTCGAGGGAATGCGCCAGGCTACTCACCGAGTACCGGCAGCGGTGGAGTGTGACCCTGCAGAGAGCGCAAGCCACTGCCCTCAGGGATAAGACCCATGAGGCCCTCACAGCGGATGTGCTCGGCCTGCAGGGCCCGTTTACTCCAATGAGCGAGGGGCAGCTGTATCAGTTGATAGAAGACCCCTCCGGCCATTAGGGCCGGGCGGGGAGGGGGGGGCTGGGGCTGGGGTAGTGCAAGGTTAGCTGTTGTTTTGCTGTAGCCTTGCTGCGAGACTGCTGTAGCCTTACCATGTGTGTACCTTGCTGACATTAATACCAAGGACCGTTCGAGAGAGAGTGAAGGGCTCCGCACCGCCACAGCGGAAGACCCACCCACTATCGAAGCTCGCGACTTCAGACGCCTCCTCGCCAAACTCCCCAACGGAGTAGGGGCCGGCCCATCTGGAACAACCTTCGAGCACATCCGCGACGCAGCCCTGGGCAACGCCGAAGTACTCACCCACCTCCTCGCCCTCACTAACACAGCTCTAGCAGGAAAACTCCCCACAGTCGCTAGGGATCTTCTAACGGCATCCCGCCTGTTAGCATTTACGAAACCACAGGGAGGGACGCGGCCGATTGCGGTGGGGGAGTGCCTCCTCCGGATAATAGCAAAAGCCGCGCTCTTCCTCACTGCGCCGGCCGCTCCGCTCGTACCCACTTTGCTCCGCTTCAGTTCGGAGTCGCAGTAGCGGGAGGGATTGAAGCGGCTATCCACTCCGCTCGCACGTACCTGGAAGTGCACCGAGGGGCAGTGGCGCTGCAGATTGACCTCGCGAATGCGTTCAACGCGGTCGAAAGGAGGGCGGTGTTTGAAGGACTGAAAAACGAGGCGCTGAAGGAACTGATTCCCCTCGTCCGCCTTTCCTATGGGACTCCCTCCTCGCTCTTCCTCGACCACGACTTCGGCGCAGCCCCGCTGCAGAGCGCCAGGGGTGTTCGCCAAGGAGACCCGTTCAGCCCACTCCTGTTCGCGGCTAGCATCCACCCGTGCCTCGTGGACACGGCGGCTGCACACCCTCAGGTGGTCCTGCTGGCGTACGCCGATGATATCACGCTGCTCGGCGACGCCACGGCCTGCTCTGCGGCTTTCGACCACCTCACCTCTGCTTTAGCCGCCCTCGGCCTGGTGCACAATCCGGCTAAGTGCGCGGCGTGGTCCGCCGCAGCAATCGACGCCTCCTCAGTCCCCCCAGGCGTCACTATCTCTGAGGAGGGTTTGCAGATTCTCGGCAGCCCCGTGGGCACTGCCCGAGGCTGCGCAGATGCTGTGAGAGCGAGATTGGAAGCAGCAGCAGCGCCTCTCCCCCTGCTGGCCCAGATGGACCCCCAACTTGCCCTCCTCCTCCTCACCCGCTGTGTCAGCCGCCGAGCTTCCTTCCTGGCCAGAAGCACCCCCCTAGAGGCCCTCCCTGAAGCCGAATGGTCCGCTTGGGGGGAACAACTCCTTCACACCTTCCTAGACTCGGCCCACATCATGAGGCCGAGGAGCGTCAGGGAGAGACGGAGGATTTGGCAGCAGGCGGCCCTGCCAGTGACTTTGGGAGGCCTGGGCATCACTGACCCCGCCGTTGAAGGCAGCTATGCCTACCTCGCATCAGTGATCAGCACAGCCCACCTCTTGCACTCCCTGGAGGACTCGTTGCACCCCGCTGTCGCCGCGTTCCTCCCCCTTTTGGACCCAACCCACGGCTCCCCACACGCGCTACCTGCACGCCTCGCCGCGGCTGAGGCCGCCCTGCCCCCCGAGGCTCTCGAGGTGCTGCAGGCCGGGAAGGCTGACCCCAAGGGACTGAAGCTGCAGCAGAACCTAGCACTGGCGGTCCACTCCCGCCGCTTCCTGAGAGTCATGCGCGAGGCGAGGCGGATGCGCCCCAACCCCCGTTCTGGCCACGCGCAACGGATGCAGTCGGTGCCAGGCCCAGGGGCGAGGGACTGGCTGCTGGCGATCCCGCTCACCCCCTCGCTCCGGATGGGCCCGTCCCAGCTCTCAACTGCAGCTGCCTTCCGCCTAGGCCTCCCCCTTCCCGTGCCTAGACGCTGTGACTGCCGCTACCGCACCACCTTCCCCGCCGACCGCCTCCCCAACCACCTCATGCGCTGTGAGAAGGGGAAAGGGAGGACCGCAACCCACCACGCTCTGCGGGATGAGATAGCGAACATAGGGGCGGAAGCGGGGTTTACGGTTCACAAGGAGACGTATGTCTACTCACTGGTTGAAAACCTCAAGGCGGATGTCACCATCCGTCATCCCCTGACTGGTGAGGTTTGGATGTGCGACGTGACCGTGACGGACCTGGTGTCAAGGCAGGACGAGAACTGCAACCGAGCTCCTGGATGGGCGGCCAGGGCGGCAGCAGAGAAAAAGGAGGATAAGTACGCACGGCGGAACGCGTGGGTAGGGTTCCACGCGCTTGCCAGGGGTGATGGCTTATGGCTACCCCTCGCCAGGGGTGATGGCTTACCTGCGGCAGTGCGCAGAGCTGGCGGCAAAGCTGCGGTTTAATGCGGCTCCTACCTCCTACGAAGCAGCGAAGCTGCTGTCGGAGTACCGCCAGCGCTGGAGCGTGTGCCTCCAGCGGGCGCAGGCCAACGCCCTCCGCTCCAAGACCAACGAGGCCTTGGCGGCGGACGAGCTCGGCTTTAGAGGACCCATCTGCACCAGTGAGGGACAGCTGCACCAGTTGATTGAGGCCCCGTTCGATCAGTAGGGTCGGACAGAGGGGGGGGGGGTGAGTAGGTAGGAGACTTGAGGTAGTTAGGATCTCGGTTTGGATGTTTGTTGTGCTTGTGTGTTCTGCATCTTCCTTTGTACCACCCCTCATAGTAATGCAAGGACCATTCTAGAGAGAAGGGAGAAGGGAGACAACAAGAGCTACGGGGATGCAGTACGACACGCGGCGGAAGCCTACATCGTGTACGGCTCCGCCCCCTCCACCTCAAGCATCGAGCGCATGCACGCCGACATCGCAAGGAGGAGATGCGCCGACGACTGAAGTGTGTCCACTGGGGTCCCGACTCGAGCAGCCCCAACAAGATCCCCCACGTGGCGGGGGAAGGTACGCGCTAAGGGCGCTACCCCGGCGGGCGCTTCCGACACGGGTGCCAACGGCGACTCGAGAGATTCTGCCAAAGACACGCAGGATCCTCGGGACCTTGGACCGTAACTGCATGGAAAGTTCCGCGTGGCCCCACACACCGCCAGTTGCAGGTTCGCCACCACCTCGAACGCCTCCGCCAGATTCAGAATCCAGCACATGGTCAGCATGGGGTCTCTCTTCGAGTGAGTGGGAGGAGGTGCAGTCGGAGCTTCGCATGGAAAAGCCGTCGGCCAGCCAGGAGTCCGGCCAACAGAGAAGCGCTGCGCGGAGAAGCCCGGGACCTGATGAGGGGTGCGAAACTGAGCCCTCCCCTCTCGCGCGGGCAGATATTCGCGCAGCGTCGGCGCGCGCAGAGGAGCCACCTGGCCAGGATCCACGGCGAAGGGAGGGCCGTTGGTCACCTCAATGTGCACGTGAGTCGGCTCCCCACTCGCCCGCACCTGCCGCACCACTTCCACAAACGCATTCGTGGCCCGATCGAGGGCAGGATCCTGCCCGCGACCATTACCGCCACGCCCACTGCCATTCCGCCGGCCCCGACGGCCCCCGGAACCAGCCTAGTGCGGACGCGGAGGGGACTACTCGCGGCGACCCGAATCCCAGCGACGCCCAGGCGACCCCCTCCCCCGCGTCGCCGGAGATCACCGCGGAGGCGCTCGGGGTGAGCGCTGACCTGCCCGACCACGAGGGGATTGGTGGCAAGGAGAGCGACGGCCCGCGGGGGACAGAAGATCGCCAGCACCGTCCCAGTGATCATCGCGACGCTCTGGAGAACGGCGGCCGAAGGCTTGGCTAAAAGAGGGAACCTGGCGAAATCACTACAGACTCTGACTGCCACGTCCGTCTGCACGCCGAGCGATGAAGTCCTCAGCGCGCTCACAGCTAGACACCCAGACGCCACCACGGCCATCCCTTCATGGGTGCACGACTTCGCCCCAGAAAACGTCCCTTTCATCGCTGCCTGGGATTTCAGGCGACTGCTGGCAAAATGCCCCAACGGGGTAGGGGCTGGGCCCTCCGGCACCACCTTTGAGCACCTTAGAGACGCGGCCCTTGGGAACGGAGACGTTTTCCTACAGCTGCATGCACTTACCAACACGGCGCTCGCTGGAAACTGAAGGCAGACGTGGCGGATCTCCTAACAGCGTTAGGCCTACTTGCCTTCTCGAAACCACAGGGCGGAACGCGGCCGATAGCTGTGGGTGAATGCCTACTACGCCTCATCGCCAAGGCGGCCCTTTTCTAGCCGCTCCAGCGGCGCGCGAGCACTTCACCCCGCTTCAGTTTGGAGTAGCAATCGCGGGAGGAATAGAGGCGGCAATACACGCCGCACGCACCTACCTGGAGGAGTTCCCAGGAGCAACGACGCTGCAGATAGATCTGGCCAACGCCTTCAATGCAGTGGAGCGCGCGGCAATGTTCGAGGGCCTGAAAGGCACCGACCTCGAAGTGTTAGTGCCCCTCGTCCGTTTCTCTTACGGCAACTCATCAGCGCTCTATCTCGACCATGACTTCAGAGCAGAACCACTTCAGAACGCACGGGGCGTACGCTAGGGCGACCCGCTGGGATCCATGCTGTTTGCAGCCAGCATCCACCCCTGCCTCGTCCAATCGGCAGCGGCACATCCGGACGTGGTGTTTCTGGCGTATGCAGATGACATCACACTACTAGGGGAGGCGGCGAACTGCACGGCAGCGTTCGCACACCTCACGGAAGCCCTCCTCCTTCATGGGCTGGCCCACAACCCGGCAAAATGCGAGGCGTGGTCCGCAGCTGCACTTGACCCCGCCACCTTACCTGCTGGCATCACGATTTCCCAAGATGGAGTCCGCGTCCTGGGCAGCCCCATTGGCCCCCCCACCGGCTGTGCGGCTCGAGTTCGCGAACGTCTCGCAGCAGCTGCCGAACCTCTCACACTCCTCGCCCAGATGGACCCCTAACTCTGCCTGCTACTACTCACCCGCTGCGTGAGCCGCCGCGCCTCGTTCCTGGTCAGAGCCACGCCCCCCGAGGCCCTTCCGTTGGAGGAGTGGTTGGCCTGGGGGGAAGAACTGCTCCACACCTACCTGGCCGCAACACATACAAGTATCCCCAGGGACCGGGCAGAGAGGGACAGGATCTGGCACCAAGCCGCATTGCCCGCGTCCCTAGGAGGCCTCGGCATCACCAACCCTGCAGTGGAGGGGAGATTCGCCTACCTGGCTTCAGTTGTATCGGCCGCCCACCTGCTACTCTCCTTCGGCGACTCAGCAAACCCGGCCCTATCAGGACTACTGCCGCTGATGGATGCTGACGGAGAATCCACATCCCTCCTCCCACGACGCCTCGCTGCCCTGGAAGCCGAGTTGCCACCTGCCGGAATAGAGGCCCTGCAGACAGGGAGACAAAAGCCTAACGGGCCGAAGCTACAGCAAGCTCTCTCCCTCGCGGTGCACACAGCCTGCTACATCCGACTGCTGGACAGCTCATGGAACATGGACCTGAACCCACTGTTTGGCCATACGTAGAGGTTACAGTCCCTCTTGGGCCCGGGGGCGGGGCACTGGCTGCTGACCATTCCCCTGATCTCTTCCCTCCGCCTTGGTCCCTCCCAGTTCTCCACTGCGGCATCCTTCCGCCTGGGACTGCCGCTACCTGTGCCAAGACGCTGCAACTGCAGATACCACACCACCTTCCCGGACGACTTGATGCTGTGTGAGAAAGGGCGGGGGGGAGAATCGGCACTCACAATGCCTTGCGAGATGAAGTGGGCGAAGATAGCGGCTGAAGCGGGATTCACGGTGCACAAGGAGACAACGGCATACTCACCGGTCGAAAACCTCAAAGCGGATATTTCTATCCGCCATCCCGACACCGGTGTAGTATGGATCTGTGACATCACAGTCACAGAACCCGTCTCCCACCAGGATGAGTACGCTCACAAGGCGCCCGGATGGGCGGCGAGGATGCAAGCGGACAAGAAGGAGACCAAATATGCCGGGCGGAGCCCGTGGGTGGGCTTCTACGCCATGGCGGTGGAGACTTACGGCTACCCCTCATCTGGAGTCCTCGATTTCCTTCGCAGCTGCGCGGAGCTGGCGGCAAAGCGGCGGTTTAACGCCTCCCCAAAGTCGAGGGAGGTGGCGAAACTACTCACCGAGTACCGCCAGCGCTGGAGCGTGACCCTGCAGAGAGCCCAAGCCAACGCCCTCAGGGATAAGACCCACGAGGCTCTTACCGCGGATGTGCTAGGCCTGCAGGGACCGTTCACTCCACTGAGCAAGGGCCAGCTGTACCAATTGCAGTAGTTTCGTCCTCCTCATGTTGCTTCTGTTTGGACCCTCTCACTAAATTTAAGAGAACCTTCTAAGTTCACTACTCCTATCACTTCGTCCCTCCCTGCTCTCCCCTCAGTTTTGAGCCTCTACCCATCCCCCAGACCTTTCTCTCAGCACCCCTCTTCCCACTTCCGCCTTTTCGCAGGCTCCCTCTCTCTCTTCCCACCCACACAGGCCTGCGTCTTGCTCTCACTCTCACATGCTGTTCTGCCCCATACGTGCATCAAACTCACCCCATTCGATTCCCCCACTTCCCCTGCATCTCCTCCCAGCCTCCCTGCCCTCCCCACCCACCCCAGCTTCGAGCCTCTCCCCATCCTCCAGAAGCTTATTGACGCCCCGCTTCCCAAGTCCGCAACAGTACCCCAGGCAGGCTCAAAAGCTGTAGACGAAGCAGCAGCCTATGGGCTCACACTCACGGACCAACGGGCAGTTGAAACTCTTTTTTCCAGTGGAGCTGATGCCGTGAAGCTCGCCGCCTGGGAGAACCTTTCGCGGGCAGCTGCGGGCGAGCAGCAGGAATTCTTCAAGTCGGCGTTTGAGTGCGTGTGTTTTCTGAGCGGTGACAGGACGGACACTCAGGTGGGTGGCTTCTGAGTTGCCTTTGAGGCGCGTTTTGAGTCGCGTTTTGAGTTGCGTTTAAGGTCGCGTTTTGAGGCATCCCTCCCCAAGCCCCCATCGTCTCCTAAGATACTTCCTGTTTAGATGTGGTCGTGGATTCTTGTTGTCGTTTCTTAGAATTCTCAAAAGTTGCGAAGTGTTTTTTAGAATTCTCGAAAGTTGCAGGGTAAAAAATGCTTAAGTTACTTTCTGTGCAAATGTGGTAGTCGATACTCGTCGTTCTTGTCTCCATGTTGCATCGCTGTTGTTTCACCACAACTGTTTTTTTCGCTGCTGCTGCTATCAGGGTATGTGTGGGGAGTCATTGCACGTTTGCCGTGTTTTGCTGTTGTTGCTTCACTGCTGTTTGCTTCGCTGCAATTTGGACTCGGGCGTGCAGGTGTTCGTGTGGAGGGACAAGGACCCGCTGAGGAAGAGGCTAGTGGTGGCGTTCCGAGGCACTGAGTTTGTAAGTGAGACCTCGTTTGACGATGGACAGGTGGGAACTGGACAGGTGGGAAGTGGGCAGGTGGGAAGTGGGCAGGTGGGAACTGAAGAGATGGGGAATTCGACATGTGGGAACTGAACAGGTGGAGTTGGTATCTAGAAAAACAAAAGTACTATTTCTAGAAGGTTTGAAGGATGCACAGGTGGGAGAACTGGCAAGCGATATGTACTATCAAGGATTCACCTTGATAATTCTACCTTCCTTCCTATCCACTTTCCTTGCTCCTTTCCCATTTTTGGTTGCCAACAGGCATTGCATTGCAACTAATGGCCCTCCCCTTTCTCTCCTTCATGAGCATAGTCCCCCACCTGACGCTCTCACACCCTCTCTCACACCCTCTCTCACACCCTCTCTCACACTCTCACACCCTCTCTCCTTGGTCCTGTGCTTCCCCATTCACCAACCACCACCAGGATCTCCAGAAGTTTAAGATTTCGTGGATGGATGTTCTGACCCATTCACGCCCTCTCACACCCATTCACACCCTCTCACACCCATTCACACCCATCCACCACCATCCAACAGGATCTCCAGAAGTTCAAGATTTCGTGGATGGATGTTCTGACCGACTTTAGGCTTTGGGAGAACCCGTGAGTGGCACACACACATGTGCATAACCATGCATGCACCATAATCTCACACTTGAGCCTCACCCGATGAAGTTCATAGTCGTGTCACACGGACCTGAGGCTTTCTTTGAGTTGACTAGGGTCCTCGAGAACCATTGAGTGGCACAAGTGCGCATAATCATGCAGGCACCATAATCTCACACTTGATACTCACCAGACGAAGTTCAAAGTCGCGTCACACGGACCTGAGGCTGCACCTGCACGCATGTGGTTGCAGCCTCAAATGTGGCTGCACCTGCACAAGCACAAGTGAGTACTTGTCCATTCCACAAAGACCTGCGGCCTGCACCTGCACAAGGACAGGGAGTGAGTGCTGCACCTGCACATTATTTTGGGAATGCTCATTAGTTGCCCAAGAGCTGAAATACATATACATCACCAGATGTCCCTACAAAGCCCAAGTAATAAGCCTAATGCGTGTATGAAAACATACCAAACAGCTCATCTTGATCTTTTTATCTCCTTCCTCCCTTCCTTCCCTCAACTCTATTAACTTCAACCTCTCCCACCACTCTCCTCCCTTCCCTCCGCCCTTCCCTCCTCCCTTCCCTCCGCCCTTCCCTCCTCCCTTCCCTCTGTCCTTCCCTCCGCCCTTCCCTCCTCCCTTCCCTCATCCCTTCCCTCCTCCCTTCCCTCCGCCCTTCCCTCCGCCCTTCCCTCCGCCCTTCCCTCCTCCCTTCCCTCCGCCCTTCCCTCCTCCCTTCCCTCCGCCCTTCCCCCCAACCACAGGTTCGACTCAGATCTAACGGAAGAGGACAACAAGGCAGGTGTTAAGGTAACGTGAAGCACACTACAAGCATGTAAACTGGATTAGATGTATTTTTTGGAAATTCGACTCAGATCTGAGTTTTGAGACGTCGTTTTGGGCTGGAAGCTGGATGAATGTGTTTCTGTTGGCCTGGCCGCACTTCCGTTGTGTCTGAGTTCTGAGTCGACTCAAATGTCAGCTCGTTACAACTCAGAAATTTGAGTCACACGGAACTTTTTCAGCTCAGGACTGGAAGCTGGATGAATGTGTTTCCGTTGGCCTGGCCGCACTCCCATTCTTTCTGAGGCGCCTCAAAAGTCGCTACCGTTCCTTTTGAGGCGCCTCACGAGTCATCTCAGAACTGGAAGTTGGATGCATGTATGTAGTATCTGTAACGTTGGTAACACTTCCATTGCTTCACGAATCTCTAGGTGGTTGTGAAACCACCAAACCTCCACGTACTTCCCCCTACCACTCCCTCTCTCCTACACTCCCTCTCAGGCACATGTCGGCTTTCTAGATGGCTACAAGTCCGTGAAGCCGCTTCTCATTCCGCTGCTCCTCATTCCGCTCCTCCTCATTCCGCTGCTCCTCATTCCGCTGCTCCTCATTCCGCTGCTCCTCATTCCGCTGCTCCTCATTCCGCTGCTCCTCATTCCGCTGCTCCTCATTCCGCTCCTCCTCATTCCGCTGCTCCTCATTCCGCTGCTCCTCATTCCGCTGCTCCTCATTCCGCTGCTCCTCATTCCGCTCCTCCTCATTCCGCTGCTCCTCATTCCGCTGCTCCTCATTCCGCTGCTCCTCATTCCGCTGCTCCTCATTCCGCTCCTCCTCATTCCGCTGCTCCTCATTCCGCTGCTCCTCATTCCGCCACTCCTCATTCCGCTCCTCCTCATTCCGCTCCTCCTTAATAAGGAGCCTCCTTATTCCGCCGCTCCTCATTCCGCCGCTCCTCATTCCGCTGCTCCTCATTCCGCTGCTCCTCATTCCGCTGCTCCTCATTCCGCTGCTCCTCATTCCGCTCCTCCTCATTCCGCTGCTCCTCATTCCGCTGCTCCTCATTCCGCCGCTCCTCATTCCGCCGCTCCTCATTCCGCTCCTCCTCATTCCGCTCCTCCTCATTCTGCTGCTCCTTATTCCGCCGCTCCTCATTCCGCCGCTCCTCATTCCACTGCTCCTCATTCCGCTGCTCCTCACTCTACTGCGCCTCAAGCTCTCAGCAACCTCTCTTGTTTGCCCCTCTGTTCCCATTGCTCCCTCTCAGGTGCACCGTGGCTTTCTGAACAGCTACAAGTCCGTGACGCCGCGCCTCATTCCGCTGCTCAAAGCAATCCTCTCCTCCTCCAACGAAAAGTGAGTTTCGAGCTAACGTGAGTGAGTGAGCCTGGGGATCGAGTTTTGAGACGTCTCAATACTCGAGTCCATGACGCCCCGCCTCATTCCGCTGCTTAAAGCAATCCTAGGCTAGGATCCTTTTGGAGCAATCCTCTCCTCCAACGAAAAGTGAGCCCGATTGATCCCAAGAGAGGAGTCATGACTTGGCACCTCTTGCCTCCGGGTAACCCGTCTGTATAGCCCATGCTTTTCCTCGTGTAATAATGGCATCAAGCCATCACCGTCATCAGGCCATCATTGACATGCCATCATTGTCATGCCATCATCAGCATGCCACCTTCATCACCATGCCACCATCATCATGCCATCATCAGCATGCTATCATCACCATGCCACCATCATCGTGCCACCCATCATCATCATGCCATACCGTCATCACCATGCCACCATCATCATGCCATCATCACCATCCCATCATCATCATGCCGTCATCATCATGCTGTCATCACCATGCCATCATCATCCTGACATGCCACCATCATCATGCCACCATCACCATGCCACCAACCCACCCTCATGCCCTCATGCCCCCAGTTATCACATCATGGTCACAGGAAACAGCCTGGGGGGCGCTCTCTCCACGCTCTTCTAAGAATGCCACCATGCCATGTGTCCCTCCATGCCATGTGTCCCTCCATGCCATGTGTCCCTCCATGCCATGTGTCCCTCCATGCCATGTGTCCCATCATGCCACCATACCATGTGTCCCTCCATGCCATGTGTCCCATCATGCCACCATACCATGTGTCCCACCATGCCACCAACCCACCCTCATGCCCTCATGCCCCACCAGGTATCACATCATGGTCACGGGGCACAGCCTGGGGGCCGCTCTCTCCACGATCTTCACATATGACCTGGCCCAGTCCGACTTCAAGAAGTGAGTGGGAAGCATGACGGTTAATATGACACGCTGGGTTACTCTCTCTCTCTCTCTCTCTCAAATGGTCCTTTGTATTGATTCAGCAGGGGGGTACAGACATGCAATTTGACTCGTGGTTCCCTTATACCTTCCGACCCATCAACCCATCCCTCTGACCCTTCCCCCCCTTAGTGCCCCTCTAACCCTCCAGCGTGTGGAGGATGTCCCCTAGGTGCAGTGGCCATGGGTCCGCTGCCATCTGGGGGTGCGCTGCCTCTATCCCAGCCCTGGCCTTGGTGTGTAGGGCATTCGCCTGGGAGCGCTGGAGGGCCACTGACCATCGCTGGCTGAAGTGGCAGGCCATCTTCTTGGCCGATTTCGACAGGGGGTTGGCCCTGAACCGGTTCCTAGCTGCTGCTGCTCTCTCTCTCTCTCTCAAGCGGTCCGTGTATTAGATCCGAGCACGGTACAGACATGCACAAGGTTATAAGGAGCAATGCACCTCAGCCTCTATAACCCCCATATCCTACCTACTCTCATTCACCCTCTAAGGCAGCTCCAGTGCAGGCTCCAGGATGGCAAGGCAGTCCCCGAGGGACATGCCTTCGCCCGGCAGCGCCACAGGTGGGTTCTCTACCTGAGCCGCATAGTTGCACTTCGTCATGAAGCTCACCGACTGCGCCCGCTGCAGCGCCACGGACCACCGCTGGCGGAACTGATGCAGCAGCTTTGTTGCTTGGTAAGATGAGGGGGCCGCGTTGAAGAGCCTGCGCGCGCCGGTGTCGGCCAGAAGTTTGAGGAATTGAGGGACCTCCACGCAGGGGCAGCCGTAGGTATCAACGGCGAGAGGGAAGAATCCGACCCACGAGGCCGTTGAGCCCTCGTAGTCGGAGATCTTTTTCTCTGCCGCCTCTCTGGCCGCCCACCCCCTGCCCTTAACCGCGTTGGGATCCCGTGTGCTAATGGGGTCCGTGATGGTCACGTCCCCTATCCACACCGCCCCTGAGGACTTGTCCCGGATCGCTATGTCTGCTTTCTTAAGGGTGACGGGGCAGAACGTGGTCGTCTCACTGTGAGTCATGAAATCAGCGTCGGCGGCCATGTGCAGACACGCATCGCGCAGTTCATTGTGCGTGTTGGTCCGCCCCTTCCCTGTGTCACAGCGCAGCAGGTGGTTGGGCAGCCGCCTGTCTGGGATCGCTGTCTCCTTGCGGCAGTCACACGCGCCTGGAGCTGAGGAGGGTAGCCCCATCCGGAATTGCAGCGCATGCGCAAAGTGAGCAGGGGCAAGCCGTAGTGTCGAGTTGAAGGGGACTGCATTGAGCCAGTCTCCTGCCCCATACCCTGAGAGTGAGAGCATGCGCTGAGTGTGCCCGCTCATTGGGTTGAGAGGCATGATGCGTGTAGCCTGCACCTGCTCCGCGTAGCGCAGTCCGTGGACCGCGATTGCCAGCCCGTGCTGCAGCTTGACGCCCTTGGGATCAACTCGGTCGCTCTGCAGCAGCTCCTTCCCATCATCCGGCAGTGACTCCTCACACCTCTCCAGCCAGTCAAAGAGCGGGGACGTGTTGATGAAGGGCCCCACCATCTGGATCCGCGTTTCCGCCAGGGCGCCGACCGCCGACTCATCAATGGAGGTGAGCAGGTGCTGCGCTTGCGTGTAGCTTGCGAGAAACCCAACACGTCCCTCCACCGAGGGGTCTGTGAGACCTAAACCGCAGAGCGAGATGGGGAGTGACGCTTGCGCCCAGGTACGTGAAATCTCTCTCTCTCTCTCTCTCTCTCCACTCTCCACGATCTTCACATACGACTGTGACCTGAAGAAGTGCGTGGGATGAATCTGAATGCGACAACGGAAGTAGGTGAGCGGGCTGAATGTGAATGTGATGGGTGGATGCGACAACTCAAGAAAAAGCCACAGCTTGCCTGCAGAGCAGAGTGCTCTCTTTTGAATCAACTCAAAATAGAGCTCTCTTCGTGCCCAGTCCGATCCGACCTGAAGAAGTGAGTGGGCCACTTTTGAGAATTCTCAAAAGTAAAATAGGTGATGTGTGGTGTGGTGTGGTGTGATGAAAGCAAAAGAAGAGGCCTTGGCTTGCCTGGGGTGGGGAGGAGCTCTCTCCACCGCTCTTCACATACGACCTCGCCCTGTCCGACCTGAAGAAGTGAGTGCGGTGCATGACGGTCAGTATGAGTTGTGCCGAGCTCTTCACATACGACCTCGCCCTGTCCGACCTGAAGAAGTGAGTGCGGTGCATGACGGTCAGTATGAGTTGTGCCGAGCTCTTCACATACGACCTCGCCCAGCCCGACCTGAAGAAGTGAGTGCGGTGCATGACGGTCAGTATGAGTTGTGCCGAGCTCTTCACATACGACCTCGCCCAGCCCGACCTGAAGAAGTGAGTGCGGTGCATGACGGTCAGTATGAGTTGTGCCGAGCTCTTCACATACGACCTCGCCCAGCCCGACCTGAAGAAGTGAGTGCGGTGCATGACGGTCAGTATGAGTTGTGCCGAACTCTTCACATACGACCTCGCCCAGCCCGACCTGAAGAAGTGAGTGCGGTGCATGACGGTCAGTATGAGTTGTGCCGAGCTCTTCACATACAACCTCGCCCGGTCCAACCTGAAGAAGTGGGCGCGATAAAGGCGCAACGCAAGTGAGTGTGGATGTGACTGCAATGGATGTGAAGAGTTCCACCTGCCTGTCTGGGCAGCGTTCTCTCCACTCCCTTCACATACAACCTTACCCAGTCCGACCTCAAGATGTGAGAGGGATGAAGGTGAGGGTGATATCTGTCTGAGAAGGCCAGTGGTGGTTGTGTGATGACGAAACGTACTGAGTGGGCCCTTATATGAGGCTTTAGCAGGAGGGTGAACACCTGTTTGGTTCGCCACGAACATGTTCGTGGCGAACCGAACACTTATATGTTTGAGAACAAGAATTGAAAATAAACCATTGAATTGATCAGATGAGAAGCGTGTACAGATGTTCCCGATTAGAGTCCCCGTGAAAAACACGCACGCTGCGGGCTTTTGTGGAAAACTCACAAACCCCGGGCAAAAGGGAACTTATAGTCCCATATAAGGACAATTGCATGAAGAGCGATTTTTTCTTCGCTACTATTCGTGTTTCTCTGTCACATACGTACGTTTGGACTACGCTGTCTTCAACTTCTCGTCGCACGGTTCGCCGCGTTGATCAGTGTCGCAGGACAAACGGGCAGAAAAATACAAAATAAAATATGTTTAAGGCCGAAATGAAAGACAACATTTTTTGTTTTACACTGTAAGCGAGATTAATGAGATGGCATCCTCGGAGCTCGCGGGGAACCGCGCAACAGGATTTAGACGCAAGAGCGGTCAAGATAAACAGACAAACACAACTGCAAAAAGTAAATAGTGAATCAAAACTTCCTTATGTTTTATTTTCCCTAAATGTTCTGACAGGTTTGATTTGCGTCCTCTGATTGGCTGCGGAACTGATTCGCGCAATGATTCAGTCAAGATGCAAGCTTTCCTGCCAAAAATGGGACTGTAGAGGAGGGGATACGCCTAGGACTTATGTGAAAAATCTACTCGCTGAGGAAATGGGACTCTTTTAGGAAGGGCCTCTAAGCCAGAACATCTGTATATATAGTTGGGAAGAGAAGCTTGGAAGGAAAACGGAGGGAGGTGGAACTTGGTGGAATGGACTAACCTATGGCCTATTGGATTAGGTTGGCAACACTTGGGAGAGCGGGCCAACCTATGGCCAACCTATGGCCAACCTATGGCCAACCTATGGCCAACCTATGGCCAACCTATGGCCAACCTATGGCCAACCTATGGCCAACCTATGGCCAACCTATGGCCAACCTATGGCCAACCTATGGCCAACCTATGGCCAACCTATGGCCAACCTATGGCCAACCTATGGCCAACCTATGGCCAACCTATGGCCAACCTATGGCCAACCTATGGCCAACCTATGGCCAACCTATGGCCAACCTATGGCCAACCTATGGCCAACCTAGGGCCAACCTAGGGCCAACCTAGGGCCAACCTATGGCCAACCTATGGCCAACCTAGGGCCAACCTAGGGCCAACCTATGGCCAACCTAGGGCCAACCTAGGGCCAACCTATGGCCAACCTAGGGCCAACCTATGGCCAACCTATGGCCAACCTAGGGCCAACCTATGGCCAACCTATGGCCAACCTAGGGCCAACCTAGGGCCAACCTATGGCCAACCTATGGCCAACCTATGGCCAACCTATGGCCAACCTAGGGCCAACCTATGGCCAACCTAGGGCCAACCTATGGCCAACCTATGGCCAACCTATGGCCAACCTATGGCCAACCTATGGCCAACCTATGGCCAACCTAGGGCCAACCTATGGCCAACCTATGGCCAACCTAGGGCCAACCTATGGCCAACCTATGGCCAACCTAGGGCCAACCTATGGCCAACCTAGGGCCAACCTATGGCCAACCTATGGCCAACCTATGGCCAACCTATGGCCAACCTATGGCCAACCTATGGCCAACCTATGGCCAACCTATGGCCAACCTATGGCCAACCTATGGCCAACCTATGGCCAACCTATGGCCAACCTAGGGCCAACCTATGGCCAACCTATGGCCAACCTATGGCCAACCTATGGCCAACCTATGGCCAACCTATGGCCAACCTATGGCCAACCTATGGCCAACCTATGGCCAACCTATGGCCAACCTAGGGCCAACCTATGGCCAACCTAGGGCCAACCTAGGGCCAATCTAGGGCCAACCTATGGCCAACCTATGGCCAACCTATGGCCAACCTATGGCCAACCTATGGCCAACCTATGGCCAACCTATGGCCAACCTATGGCCAACCTATGGCCAACCTATGGCCAACCTATGGCCAACCTATGGCCAACCTATGGCCAACCTATGGCCAACCTATGGCCAACCTATGGCCAACCGATGGCCAACCGATGGCCAACCGATGGCCAACCTATGGCCAACCTATGGCCAACCGATGGCCAACCTATGGCCAACCTATGGCCAACCTATGGCCCATTGGGTTAAGTTGGCAACACTTGGGAAAGTGTTGCCAACCAATGGCCCATTGGGTTGGGTTGGCAACATTCCCAAAGTGTTGCCACCATTAGAGCTGCAGTCTACATTTGAAAGTGTTTTTTGGGATTAAATTGTTTGCACACCCTTTGACGCGCAATGATTGGGGAACGAATTGAGCGGAAGCAAGGATCACATGGTCAAGGAATGCAAAGCGTGCTGGCGACGCCAACCATTTCGTGAGGGGGTTGGGTTGGCGGATTCGCGGAAGACAAAGTCTCCCCCACACAACCAAGTGAGATTAAAATCTTACACTGTTTTCAAGTGATAAACCTATGGCTCCCGCTTCAGTTATGTAGACCGCAGCTTTAAGGACCAATGGGTGCATTTGGGGACTCCACCACAATTGGGTTGGATTGGCACCCCAACCTGCAAAGCTACACCCAATGTTGGGTGTAGTCCCAACCCAATTGTACACCACAATTGGTGTACAGGCTCAAAAGTCTAAGCATGCTATAATATATTTTCTAACAATGTGTTTCTGGCCTTAAGTGTTCGAGGCAATGTTCGTGTTCACCCGAACATGTTCGCGTTCGGTTCGCCGCGGCAGGCCGAGCCACGACGAACACAAAAACGCTCGTGTTCGTCTGAGGGTGTCACCGAAGAAAGAAGTGTTCGCCACCGCGACCAACATATTTAGGTCGCGGAATATTCAGTTTGAGCTCAAACCTTGACGATCCTCCCACCCACAACCCATACTCCCCACCAGCAACACTAGGCACCAGCCTAAACTACACAAATAGGGTAGCGTAGTTAGTAGGGAGAATAGATAGGATTTTGGCTAAGGCTTTATAGTGCCATTTGGGGCTCAGGCCAACGAGAACCCACCTTTGAGACGTCTCAAAAGCCATTTGGGGCTCAGGCCAACGGGAACCCACCAACCCCTGCTGAAATCGTAGGCGAATTCAACATTAAAACCAGATTAGGGCTGTACACTGGTTAATGTGGCTATATTGAGGGGTGTGACAGGAGAGCATGAACATGTTCGCCAAGAACATGTTCATGCTCGCGGCGAACATGAGGGTGTTGCCCCTGGAGGCGAACAGCGAACACCCTTTTCCCTGAAAGTGTTCGCGGCGAACCGAAGGTGACATATTCGCCCCTGGTGAACCCCCTGCTCATGCCTTTTGAGATGACTTTTGAGTCGACTCAAATGACATATTCGCCCCTGGTGAACCCTCTGCTCATGCCTTTTGAGGTGACTTTTGAGTCGACTCAAATGACATATTCGCCCCTGGTGAACCCGAACATGTTCGCCCCTGGTGAACACGAACATGTTCGTGTTCGCCCCCTGCTCATGCCTACCTCATATTTAATACAAGAATATATAAAAAAATATATGCATATTTTTATGAACTACAGGTCCTCTTGTTTCCAATCTCTTCTCACCACCACCACAGGCAGCACGGGTTTGCTCTCTCTCTCAACAACTTCGGCTCTCCCCGCGTGGCTTGTGAGGAGACTCAGATTCCTTCCCCCGTTGCTATACACACCCCTCTTTCCAATCCCTCATTATCACCACCACCACAGGCAGAACGGTTTCACCCTCTCTCTCTACAACTTCGGCTCTCCCCGTGTGGGCAACCGTAACTTTGCTGCTCGCTTCTACCAGGTGCGTATTGCTTAGTTGGTAGGTCCCTAAGTACAATGCTTAGAAAGAGCAGTGAAAGGCCACGGGCAAGTGCAAGTCAATTTATGCAGGGTTCCAGCCACATGGGATTCTGTAGGTGCTGATTGTCCCCTCACCTTGAGATGACTTTTGAGTCGACTCAAAATTCACCCAGGCACATGTGCAAAGTGTTCTGTCTATAGGTGCTGATTGTCCCCTGACCTTGTAATTGCTGCAGGGTGTTTTTTAGAATCCTCAGAACACCCTATCTGTTCACATGGGCAAAGGGTTCTGTCTATAGGTGCTGTCCCCTCACCTTGAGATTGCAGGGTGTTTTTTTAGAAATCTAAAAAACTCCCTGTTTGCCCACATGGGCATTGGATTCATTTGCCGGTCTATAGACTAGGCTTGAGCAGGTTAAATTGTTCGTGGCGAACGTGTTCGGTGTTCGCCCGAACATGTTCGTGTTCGGTTGGTCTTGGAAGCCCGAGCCGCGACGAACACGAACACGTTCGTGTTCGTTTCGGGGCAAAAACGAACACGAATGTGTTCGTCGCGAATGCCCTCTGATCGAAGGCGCCAAAGGCCATTTTCGCCGTCAGATCAGATGGCAAGAAGGGGGGGGCAAATTCAATATCTGTCATGTGTGACTATAGTGATTGTAGTCCCGGGGCGAACACGTTCGTGTTCGCCTCCGGCCCCCATGGGGCGGCACCATGGTGTTCGCCTCCGGCACCATGGTGTTCGCCTCCGGCACCATGGTGTTCGCCTCCGGCACCATGGTGTTCGCCTCCGGCACCATGGTGTTCGCCTCCGGCACCATGGTGTTCGCCTCCGGCACCATGGTGTTCGCCTCCGGCACCATGGTGTTCGCCTCCGGCACCATGGTGTTCGCCTCCGGCACCATGGTGTTCGCCTCCGGCACCATGGTGTTCGCCTCCGGCACCATGGTGTTCGCCTCCGGCACCATGGTGTTCGCCTCCGGCACCATGGTGTTCGCCTCCGGCACCATGGTGTTCGCCTCCGGCACCATGGTGTTCGCCTCCGGCACCATGGTGTTCGCCTCCGGCACCATGGTGTTCGCCTCCGGCACCATGGTGTTCGCCTCCGGCACCATGGTGTTCGCCTCCGGCACCATGGTGTTCGCCTCCGGCACCATGGTGTTCGCCTCCGGCACCATGGTGTTCGCCTCCGGCACCATGGTGTTCGCCTCCGGCACCATGGTGTTCGCCTCCGGCACCATGGTGTTCGCCTCCGGCACCATGGTGTTCGCCTCCGGCACCATGGTGTTCGCCTCCGGCACCATGGTGTTCGCCTCCGGCACCATGGTGTTCGCCTCCGGCACCATGGTGTTCGCCTCCGGCACCATGGTGTTCGCCTCCGGCACCATGGTGTTCGCCTCCGGCACCATGGTGTTCGCCTCCGGCACCATGGTGTTCGCCTCCGGCACCATGGTGTTCGCCTCCGGCACCATGGTGTTCGCCTCCGGCACCATGGTGTTCGCCTCCGGCACCATGGTGTTCGCCTCCGGCACCATGGTGTTCGCCTCCGGCACCATGGTGTTCGCCTCCGGCACCATGGTGTTCGCCTCCGGCACCATGGTGTTCGCCTCCGGCACCATGGTGTTCGCCTCCGGCACCATGGTGTTCGCCTCCGGCACCATGGTGTTCGCCTCCGGCACCATGGTGTTCGCCTCCGGCACCATGGTGTTCGCCTCCGGCACCATGGTGTTCGCCTCCGGCACCATGGTGTTCGCCTCCGGCACCATGGTGTTCGCCTCCGGCACCATGGTGTTCGCCTCCGGCACCATGGTGTTCGCCTCCGGCACCATGGTGTTCGCCTCCGGCACCATGGTGTTCGCCTCCGGCACCATGGTGTTCGCCTCCGGCACCATGGTGTTCGCCTCCGGCACCATGGTGTTCGCCTCCGGCACCATGGTGTTCGCCTCCGGCACCATGGTGTTCGCCTCCGGCACCATGGTGTTCGCCTCCGGCACCATGGTGTTCGCCTCCGGCACCATGGTGTTCGCCTCCGGCACCATGGTGTTCGCCTCCGGCACCATGGTGTTCGCCTCCGGCACCATGGTGTTCGCCTCCGGCACCATGGTGTTCGCCTCCGGCACCATGGTGTTCGCCTCCGGCACCATGGTGTTCGCCTCCGGCACCATGGTGTTCGCCTCCGGCACCATGGTGTTCGCCTCCGGCACCATGGTGTTCGCCTCCGGCACCATGGTGTTCGCCTCCGGCACCATGGTGTTCGCCTCCGGCACCATGGTGTTCGCCTCCGGCACCATGGTGTTCGCCTCCGGCACCATGGTGTTCGCCTCCGGCACCATGGTGTTTGCCTCCGGCACCATGGTGTTCGCCTCCGGCACCATGGTGTTTGCCTCCGGCACCATGGTGTTTGCCTCCGGCACCATGGTGTTTGCCTCCGGCACCATGGTGTTCGCCTCCGGCACCATGGTGTTCGCCTTCACAGGCGAACGGCGAGCACCTTTTTTTTGCTAATGATGTTCGGCGAACCAAACAGCATTCGGTTCGTCGAACGGCAGTGCTCGTGCAGGGGCGAACGCGAACACGTTCGTGTTCGCCTCTTGCTCAACCCTACTATAGAATTCCAATGAGAATCATGGTGGGTAACCTCACCTATTCCTTCGATTCTGTCGCTCCTCTTGGCATCCCCCACTCCCCCCGTTCCCATTCCCGCTCCCTCTTATCCCCTCCTCTCAACCGATCCCAACCTGTCCCAACCTTTTCCAACCCAACCGAACCACATCGTGGGAGACAACAAATACATCTCCAACCCAACGGCTTGGACATTGTGCCTATGTGCCTTACCTGTTTCATCCAAACCATCCCAACCCATCCCAAACCATCCCAACCCATCCCAACCCATCCCATCCCATCCAAATCCATACCATAACGTCCCAACCAGATCATGGGAGACAACTGGTACATCTCCAACGATTTGAAGATCCCCTCCCTCCTCCCATCCCAACCAATCCCAACCCATCCCAACCAGGTGCGGAGCTGGGCGACAGCTGGCGCGTGCTGTACTTGTTTTCATCCTAACCCATCCCAACAAGGTGGTGGGCGACAGCTGGCGCATTACCAACGATTTGGATGTAGTGATGCGCATGCCTTATGAGTTTCATCTCAACCCATCCCAACACATGCCAACCCATACAATAACTTCCCATCTAGGTGGTGGGAGACAGCTGGCGCATTGCCAACGATTTGGACGTAGTGACGCGCGTGCCTTATGCGTTGGTGCCGTTCTTTCCTCACCTTTCATACAAGCACGTGGCCTCGGGGGTTGAGTTTCGCCCCGACTCGCAGAAGTTAGACAAGGTGTGTAGGAGTGAGGGATGCAGTGAGGTGGGTGAGAGCGGAATGAGCAGCATTGCCAAAGATTTGGGCATAGTGCTGCGCGTGCCAAAGATTCTTGAAGCACTGATCACCCCCGCCTATTCCACCTGTGCTCCCCGCAACCCATCCCAACCCATCCCAACCAGGAGGTGGGAGACAGCTGGCGCATTGCCAACGATTTGGACATCCCACGCGTGGCTCGTTTTCCGTTCTCGCCTCCTTCTCATCCCACCCACCCCCCACTGTCTGCTTTCTTGCTTTCCCTCCCCCCCTGCCCTGTAACAACGTAACCTGTAGCGTGGCGCTTCATCTGCCCTCCCTGAATGTGAGGTCCCTGAATGGAATGAGTCTGCTTTTGAGTTGACTCAAAAGTAACCTGTAGCGTGGCGCTTCATCTGCCCTCCCTCCCGCCTCCCTCCTTGGGTGGTTGTTTTTCAGGATGAGCTTCTGAAGAAGCGCATCAATAACATCGAATCAGTAAGCTTTCTGCAAATACATTATATTCCATTTGGTCCACTATTAGAAGCAGTTAACATCCGCCTATGTTCTGCTTGTCATGAACTCGAAAACATCACACCGGTTAGCTTCAGGTAACACGCTTCAAGCCTGCTTCAGGTAACACGCTTCACACCGGCTAGCCTCAGGTAACACGCTTCAAGCCCATCCGTCCTTGGCTCGTCAAATCTTGTGTCGAGTGCCATTGTAACGAGGTGACTTTTGAGTCGACTCAGAAGTCCTCTGGTAACACGCTTTAAGACTGTCCATCCTTGGCAACTTTTGAGGCGCCTCAAAACACGCTTCAAGTTCATCCATCCGGGGGCTCGTCAAATCTTTGACTTGCCCGAGTCGTCTTTCCATTGATGAGTGGATTTTTATTTGACTCAAATTTCGACTCCTTACACGCGGTTTTTACTCAAAATTTGACTCTCTCTTTTTTTCCCGGAAGTATAATCAAAAGCCCTTTCTTCCAGTGACGAGTGGTCAATCAACGTCCTCACACCATTGTCCCCTTCTAGCCAAGCCAATCTATGTACCAATCTCGTCTTTCCTTTGAATCTTCTGACCCATCTCGTCTCTTCTTTATCATCTCAGCAATTTCTATATCGTTGCCAATTGTACCCCTTATAAACTCAGTCTCTCAAAAATTTAGGTGCGTAAATATTGCTTCTGTTTAATCGCCAATCATATCCAATATTAACGCGCTTGTTTCAACCACAGAGCGAGAAGTTCCTGCTTCCATTCTTTGACGGTGCCAGCACCCGCATGCACGAGCAGCAGGCTTATTTCCTCTCTCTGCTCAAGGTGAGCCGCTGGATGGTGGTGTGTTGATATCAGAGTGAGCTGGTTGGTGTGGTGCTAGATGCTTTAGGCGACTGTCCGCCTGCACTTGCAGCCGTCGTACTTCCTCTCGCTGCTCAAGGTGCGCTGGTGGTGGTGGTGTTGAGATCAGGGTTTATTAGTGTTTCGAAAGCTCTCACAACACAACCCTCGCATGCACTCGCATGCACTCGCATGCACAAGCAGGAGGCCTACTTCCTCTCCATGCACAAGGTTAATTGGTTGGTGGTGGTGAGAACGTCCTGGAGTGAGCGTTCAGTTGAGACCAGCGCATCTTGTACTAAAGTGTGATACGTCTGTTGTGAGACGTCTCAAGGTGCCCCCCATGCACTCGCAAGCGGCTCACTTCCTCTCGCTGCTCAAGGTGCGTTGGCAGTGTTGGCGTTCGTTTCTCTCCCTGCTTTGGGTTCAGTGGTGGCGCTGGTTACTGGGTGTGGTGTGACTGGGTTGGAACGATTTCTGGCCATCTAAAAAAGTACGTGATGCATGGGAGGTGTGTCCGGGGTACATGCATGGGAGGTGTGTCCGGGGTACATGCATGGGAGGTGTGTCCGGGTTACATGCATGGGAGGTGTGTCCGGGGTACATGCATGGGAGGTGTGTCCGGGTTACATGCATGGGAGGTGTGTCCGGGGTACATGCATGGGAGGTGTGTCCTGGTTACATGCATGGGAGGTGTGTCCGGGTTACATGCATGGGAGGTGTGTCCGGGTTATATGCATGGGAGGTGTGTCCGGGTTATATGAATGGGAGGTGTGTCCGGGTTACATGCATGGGAGGTGTGTCCAGGTTACATGGATGGGAGGTGTGTCCGGGTTACATGCATGTGTGATGTGGCAGGGTTACACGCGTGGGTGTTGTGTCCAGGTTGCATACCCATGAATGGCATACCCATGAATGGCATACCCATGACTCAGTTGTCCATTTCGTGAGAATATGTTTGCATCGCTTACTTATCCCCCCAACCAATGCCCCCTTCCTTTTCCCATGATGCATATTCTTTCTTTTCTCGGAATCATACCCTCCTACCCCCATCCACTCCCATCGCCTTGCTGCCAGCAAGTGCGCTTCAACCTGTACAGAAGAAGACAGCAGCAATGATATGCCATGCTATCCCTCACATCCGAATGACCATGCACACTGTATTGCCCGAATCCTCAAATCATCCCCTCCCATGCGCCTCCCATTGCTCTGCTCTCCCATCATCATGCCCATGGTGCCAGCAAGTGCGCTTCAACCTGAACAAGTGACTGCAGCATGCCATCCCATGTCATGACACGGGAGGGATGACACATGACAGGACAGCCTTTGCATGCCATGCCATATCACGCCAGTGATATGAGAGAATTCTGTTTCATTTTGGGTTGTTATCATTCTACAATGAATGAGGAAAGTGTGTGATTGGTGGTGCTGTGTAAGCTTTGGTTGTATGACGCCCATATCGTGCCGTGCCACACCTGCCATGTCATGCCAGCACACATGCAAACAGATCGAACTTGCTAGAAAGGCATGATGCCGTCGTTGCGGAAGCTGGATTGTAGCAAGACTGGAAGACTTGTACCGAAAATGGTTGCCGAAAACCGCATACCGGATCTTTGCGGCGTCCGACTCGACGTAATTGGCGTCGAAGAAAACGTTCATCGTGAAGACCCACGATTGAACTGTCGGACCGCCGCGTTGACTTGGGTCGAAGCAGGGCGGGCGTTGCGGCTTGAGCGGCATTGGTGCCATGTTGGAGTGTTCGCCACTTGTCGCCGCAAATTCCACGTGCCGACGGACTTCTCGAGGCTCCCGTGGGCTTGGTGCGATCCTGTTTCCTCCCATGCCAGGCATCGGCTGGGCGTCGCCCTCACTGGCTGCGCCTGAGCGTTGTCCCGTGCTGTCATGTTGTGTTGGTGTGCCGGACGAGATTACAATCGGCTCATCCGAATGTGCAGATGTGTTTGTTGGTGCGTGGGGTGTTGTTGGTACATTCATCGTAGACTGTTGACGGGCGGAGTCACGTTCCGCCGTGAGAGTCGCGATTTCAAGCGCCGAGTCCTCCAGTTGACGCACGAGACGATCGAGTTGCTCTTGCGTCAATGTGGCGAGCGTGATATCGGCCATGGCGGGGGTGTCGGGCAAGCTCAGCGAGAGCCTCGGTCGTGGCCGTGCGTGCTTGCGAGAGAGCACTACGAGCGGCGGTGCTGTATCGCTGAGAGACGTCTACCCCCCCCAAAAAATTGAGATAGTGGGGAAGCGAAGGTGTGGATGCGGTCCGAGATGGGATCGTAGGCTCTGAATACCAAGTGTTACGAGTGCAATTGAGTGAACGAACGAGAATTGCACTATCGAAGCAAGAGTACAATGAGCAAAGGTATGAGCGAAGAATATATAGCGAAACTACAGTGGTAACGGTAATGGTCGCGCGACGAGCCTGGGACTGAGGTTGGGAGAATATCGAAGCGTAGGCCCGGAGCGCGGGTTACCAGCCGAGCCGTGAGGTCGGGATGCGATGTGCGAAATTGGCGGGATGATTATCGGTGCGATGGTCGCGAGTGGTAACGGTGCTGACTGAGGTGCTACAGTGATGTACGCGTTGAGTAGGGATGCGAAGTAAGGAAAAGGGAATTTCCTTACACTACCCCCCCCCCTCCTAAGGAGGTCCTCCTTACGAAAGCGCGAGGACGTCTTTGAAGTTTCGGCTGCGCAGGTAGTCGGTGACGACAGGGTGGTTTTCAACTTTGTCCAGGGGAACCCAGTTGTCCTCGGTGGGTGTACGATCTTTCCAGCGGATCAGAAACTCAACTTTTCGGGCTCCTCGAGGGTCGCGAACTCTGTGGCTCAAGATTTTTTCGGGGGTGATGACTGGTTCGGTTGGTGGTCGTGTCATGCTGGATGGCCGATGTCGTGGGAGTTGGCTGGTGGATGGGACGTAAGGGCGAAGCAGACTGACGTGGAACGAGGGGCTGACATACCAGTCAGCGGGAAGGAGGAGGTGCGCAGTGACAGGTGTGATCATGTGACTGATTCGAAATGGCCCATAGTATCGAGGGCGGAGTTTGGGAGTGATGGGCAGGCGGAGGTTCTGAGTGTCGAGTAAAACGAGGTCATCCGGCTGATAAGTGACGGGCCTGCGGTGGCGATCGGCGTTGCGTTTAGCGATGATATTTGATTTTTTTATTGCTTCTGCTGCCCTGGTCCGTGCTGCTTGCAGAATCTCGGCGAACTGTTGTGCGCGTGGAACGGGATTGTCGGGATTCGGTATCATGGGTACTGTTGGATCCTGTCCGTAGTTCAAGTAAAATGGCGACTGTTGGGTCGTGGCGGATGGCGCGTTGTTGTACGCAAACTCGATGAGAGGCAGCTGCTGTTCCCACGTGTTTGGATCGTCGCACGTGGCTCGAATCAGCTACTCCATGGTCTGGTTTGTCCGTTCTGTATGTCCGTCGGTTTCGGGGTGGTAGGATGAACTGAATTGAAGTCGCGTGCCGAACTGCTGCCATAGGTTCTGTGAGAATAGGAAAACAGGAATGGATGAACTATGAACGAAAGCAGTACAAATATGAAACCCTAACTGGGTTGTACCCCCTATGGGATACCCCACTACAGCCTACACAGCAGTATAAGCTATAGATAAGTTCTGACACACCCCCATAGGCAAAGTGGGGGAGAACAAGGGGTCACAAGACCAGTCAAGCAAGACAAAGCAAAGCTCAGGGTGGATCACAAAGTCACCACACAGTCCGAGCACAAGAGCAAGGCCAAAGGCCAGTTCACAAGCAAGAGTACAGACATATATATAAAGCTAGACAAGCAAGAGCAGGTATATATATATGTCACAGTACAAGTGAAGTCAAGAGGAGAGCAAGTGAGGCAAGACAGGCACAAGACCCAGCTGGGTGCAGAAGCGCTGATGGTCACAAGGCGCAAGTGCCTTGGTGAACACATCAGCAGTGTTGGCCTCAGAGGCCACGTACGCAAGTCGCAACTGACCACGCTGCTGCAGCTCACGAGCAAGGAAGTAGCGGAGAGCAATGTGCTTCGTTCTGTGCTCCAAGCGCTGCTCTCGACACAAGGCCAGCATAGCCTTGTTGTCTACGTACAGCACTGGAGGAGAACGAGGCGGCTCTCCAAGGTCAGTCAGCAGGTAGGTGAGCCAGCGAAGCTCCTGTGCAGCCATGGCCCCGGCGTAGATCTCAGCCTCACAACTGGAGCCGAGAACCGAAGACGAGCGAGTAGACCGCCACGAGACAGAGCCGGAACCAAGGCTGAAGGTGTAACCCTGTGACGACCGCTGCGTAGCCTGGTCGTCAGCCCAAGAAGCGTCCGCGTGGCCGGTAAGGACCACTGGACTCCGCCCTCCAAGCACTAGCCCCATGCCTGACGTACTGCACAGGTAGCGCAATACCCTCTTCGCTGCAGCCATGTGCTCCGGTCTGTGTCTCCCAGGAGCAACATAGCGTGCAAGAATGCTCAGAGGGTATGCAAGGTCAGGTCGTGTGCAGGTCATCAGGTACATGAGGCAGCCAACAAGCTCCGCATACGGACCACTCGACTCTACGGACTCATCCGAAGGCAGAGCTGAGAGTGAGTGGCGAGTAGGCAGAGGAGTGGCCTGAGGCGAGGAGTACGTGAAGCCGAAGCGCTGAAGGACCTGCTGCACCATGTGTGACTGAGTCAAGGTAATGGTGCGGCGTGCTCTGTCCCGAGTGATCTGCAAGCCAAGGTAGCTGCGCAGTTCACCCAGGTCTGTGCACGTGTGTCTCTTCAACAGCTCGGACTTCACGTAGGCGAGTCCAGCAGTGTCCGCTGTGGCAAAGACCAGGTCGTCGACGTACACGAGGATGTAGAACGGCGGCAGAGAAGTGTCGGTGCGAAGAAACAGCGACGGGTCAGCAGTAGAAGGAGCAAACCCAAGAGCCGCAAGCGTAGTCCTCAGTGTGTCGTGCCACTCACGCGGTGCCTGGCGGAGACCGTAGACT